GCTAGTTGACCTCACCCATAGCTTGCTGGAAATACCCAGAGCTAGTTGACCCAACCCATAGCTTGCTGGAAATACCTAGAGGTAGTTGACCTCACCCATAGCTTGCTGGAAATACTCAGAGCTAGTTGACCTCACCCATAGCTTGCTGGAAATACCCAGAGCTAGTTGGCCTCACCCACAGCTTGCTGGAAATACCACGAGCTAGCTGGCCTCACCAACAGCCACCCTGAAATACCCGGGGCGGTCGGTTAGCCTGATGGTTAAAGCGTTCGCTCGCCACGCCGAGGACCCGGGTTCGATTCCCGACATGGGTACAATGTGTGAAGCCCATTTCTGGTGTCCCCCGCCGTGATATTGCTGGAATATTGCTAAAAGCGGCGTAAAATCAAACTCAATCACTCACTGAAAATACCCAGCCCTGGTTGACCCCATCCATAGCTTGCTGGAAATACCCAGAGCTAGTTGATCCCACCCATAGCTTGCTGGAAATACCTAGAGGTAGTTGACCTCACCCATAGCTTGCTGGAAATACCCAGAGCTAGTTGACGTCACCCACAGCTTGCTGTAATACCCAGAGCTAGTTGACCTCACCCACAGCTTGCTGGAAATACCCAGAGCTAGCTGGCATCACCAACAGCTTGCTGGAAATACCCAGAGCTAGTTGACCTCACCCAGAGATTGCTGGAAATACCCAGAGCTAGTTGACCTCACCCATAGCTTCCTGGAAATATCCGGAGCTAGTTGACCTCACCCATAGCTTGCTGGAAATACCCAGAGCTAGTTGACCTCACCTATAGCTGGCTGGAAATACCCAGAGCTAGTTGACCTCACCCACAGCTTGCTGGAAATACCCAGAGCTAGTTGACCTCACCCACAGCTTGCTGGAAATACCCAGAGCTAGTTGACCTCACCCATAGTTTGCTGTAATACCCAGAGCTAGTTGACCACACCCATAGCTTTTTGGAAATATCCAGAGCTAGTTGACCTCACCCATAGCTTGCTGTAATACCCAGAGCTAGTTGACCTCACCCATAGATTGCTGGAAATACCCAGAGCTAGTTGACCTCACCCATAGATTGCTGGAAATACCAAGAGCTAGTTGACCTCACCCATAGCTTGCTAGAAATACCCAGAGCTAGTTGACCTCATCCATAGATTGCACGAAATACCCAGAGCTAGTTGGCCTCACCCACAGCTTGCTGGAAATACCCAGAGCTAGTTGACCTCACCCATAGCTTTCTGGAAATACCCAGAGCTAGTTGACCCAACTCATAGCTTGCTGGAAATACCCAGAGGTAGTTGACCTCACCCACAGCTTGCTGGAAATACCCAGAGCTAGTTGACCTCACCCATAGCTTCCTGTAATACCCAGAGCTAGTTGACCTCACCCATAGCTTGATGGAAATACCCAGAGCTAGTTGACCTCACCCATAGTTTGCTGTAATACCCAGAGCTAGTTGGCCTCACCCATAGCTTTTTGGAAATACCCAGAGCTAGTTGACCTCACCCATAGCTTGCTGTAATACCCAGAGCTAGATGACCTCACCCATAGCTTGCTGGAAATACCCAGAGCTAGTTGACCTCACCCATAGATTGCTGGAAATACCAAGAGCTAGTTGACCTCACCCATAGCTTGCTGGAAATACCCAGAGCTAGTTGACCTCACCCACAGCTTGCTGGAAATACCCAGAGCTAGTTTACCTCACCCACAGCTTGCTGGAAATACCCAGAGCTAGCTGGCCTCACCAACAGCTTGCTGGAAATACCCAGAGCTAGTTGACCTCACCCACAGCTTGCTGGAAATACCCAGAGCTAGCTGACCTCACCCGCAGCTAGCTGGAAATACCCAGTGCTTGTTGACCTCACCCACAGCTTGCTGGAAATACCCAGAGCTAGCTTGCCTCACCCATAGCTTGCTGGAAATACCCAGAGCTAGTTGGCCTCACCCACAGCTTGCTGGAAATACCCAGAGCTAGTTTACCTCACCCACAGCTTGCTGGAAATACCCAGAGCTAGTTGACCTCACCCATAGCTTGCTGGAAATACGCAGAGCTAGTTGGCCTCACCCACAGCTTGCTGGAAATACCCAGAGCTAGCTGGCATCACCAACAGCTTGCTGGAAATATCCAGAGGTGGTTGACCCCATCCATAGCTTGCTGGAAATATCCAGAGCTAGTTGATCCCACCCATAGCTTGCTGGAAATACCTAGAGGTAGTTGACCTCACCCATAGCTTGCTGGAAATACCCAGAGCTAGATAACCTCACCCATAGCCTGCTGGAAATACCCAGAGCTAGTTGACCTCACCCACAGCTTGCTGGAAATACCCAGAGCTAGCTGACCTCACCCGCAGCTAGCTGGAATTACCCAGTGCTTGTTGACCTCACCCACAGCTTGCTGGAAATACCCAGAGCTAGCTGGCCTCACCCATAGCTTGCTGGAAATACCCAGTGCTTGTTGACCTCACCCGTAGCTTGCTGTAATACCCAGAGCTAGTTGACCTCACCCTTAGATTGCTGGAAATACCCAGAGCTAGTTGACCTCACCCATAGCTTGCTGGAAATACCCAGAGCTAGTTGACCTCACCCACAGCTTGCTGGAAATACCCAGAGCTGGTTGACCCCATCCATAGCTTGCTGGAAATATCCAGAGCTAGTTGATCCCACCCATAGCTTGCTGGAAATACCTAGAGGTAGTTGACCTCACCCATAGCTTGCTGGAAATACCCAGAGCTAGTTGACCTCACCCACAGCTTGCTGTAATACCAAGAGCTAGTTGAACTCACCCATAGCTTTTTGGAAATACCCAGAGCTAGTTGACCTCACCCATAGCTTGCTGGAAATACCCAGAGCTAGTTAGCCTCACCAACAGCTTGCTGGAAATACCCAGAGCTAGCTGGCCTCACCCACAGCTAGCTGGAAATACCCAGTGCTTGTTGACCTCACCCACAGCTTGCTGGAAATACCCAGAGCTAGCTGGCCTCACCCATAGCTTGCTGGAAATACCCAGTGCTTGTTGACCTCACCCATGGCTTGCTGTAATACTCAGAGCTAGTTGAATTAACCATAGCTTTTTGGAAATACCCAGAGCTAGTTGACCTCACCCGAAGCTTGCTGTAATACCCAGAGCTAGTTGACCTCACCCATAGCTTGCTGGAAATACCAAGAGCTAGTTGACCTCACCCATAGCTTGCTGGAAATACCCAGAGCTAGTTTACCTCACCCACAGCTTGCTGGAAATACCCAGAGCTAGTTGACCCCACCCATAGCTTGCTGGAAATACCCAGAGCTAGTTGGCCTCACCCACTGCTTGCTGGAAATACCCAGAGCTAGCTGGCCTCACCAACAGCTTGCTGGAAATACCCAGAGCTGGTTGACCCCATCCATAGCTTGCTGGAAATATCCAGAGCTAGTTGATCCCACCCATAGCTTGCTGGAAATACCTAGAGGTAGTTGACCTCACCCACAGCTTGCTGGAAATACCCAGAGCTAGATGACCTCACCCATAGCTTGCTGGAAATACCCAGAGCTAGTTGACCTCACCCACAGCTTGCTGGAAATACCCAGAGCTAGCTGGCCTCACCCGCAGCTAGCTGGAAATACCCAGAGCTAGCTGGCCTCACCCATAGCTTGCTGGAAATACCCATTGCTTGTTGCCCTCACCCATAGCTTGCTGGAAATACCCAGAGCTAGTTGACCTCACCCTTAGATTGCTGGAAATACCCAGAGCTAGTTGACCTCACCCATAGCTTGCTGGAAATACTCAGAGCTGGTTGACCTCACCCACAGCTTGCTGGAAATACCCAGAGCTAGCTGGCCTCACCCGCAGCTAGCTGGAAATACCCAGTGCTTGTTGACCTCATCCACAGCTTGCTGGAAATACCCAGAGCTAGCTGGCCTCACCCATAGCTTGCTGGAAATACCCAGTGCTTGTTGACCTCACCCGTAGCTTGCTGTAATACCCAGAGCTAGTTGACCTCACCCTTAGATTGCTGGAAATACCCAGAGCTAGTTGACCTCACCCATAGCTTGCTGGAAATACCCAGAGCTAGTTGACCTCACCCACAGCTTGCTGGAAATACCCAGAGCTAGTTGACCTCACCCACAGCTTGCTGGAAATACCCAGAGCTAGTTGACCCAACCCATAGCTTGCTGGAAATACCCAGAGCTAGTTGACCTCACCCACAGCTTGCTGGAAATATGAAGAGATAGTTGGCCTCACCCACAGCTTGCTGGAAATACCCAGAGCTAGCTGACCTCACCCACAGCTTGCTGGAAATATCTATTGCTAGTTGACCTCACCCACAGCTTGCTGGAAATACCCAGAGCTAGTTGGCCTCACCCATAGCTTGCTGTAATACCCAGAGCTAGTTGACGTCACCCACAGCTTGCTGGAAATACCCAGAGCTTGCTGACCTCACCCACAGGCTGCTGACCTCATCCATAGCTTGCTGGACTCAAACATCAGCTTTGCTTGAAACACAGGTACACATGACTGAGATAGGTCAAGGACATATTTGTGAATGATAAAACAGGGACAATTAGACACCTCATGTGTTGCTCCCTGTTTTGATATCAACCTTGGTTAGAATAGATCTCTAGGTCTTTTACTTCCTGTAAAGGGCAACTGGCTTGGTTGGTCCGACTTGGAGGATTGCGCTTATACCATCTTACCGTCATGCTGTGACACTCATACTGTCATACTGTCATACCACATGAGGATTCCAGGACCAAACTGGTGGAAAGAGGCAATTTAACTGATTGATTTGTCAAGCGCAGTGACTTTGTTGATTGTGTGTCATTATACCCCAAAGACATGGATAGTAGGCTCATAATATTAATCACTGGAATGTCTGGTCCAGACTATTATTTACAGACAACTGTCATACAGCTGTAACATTGCTGGGTGTGGCATAAGACAACAATTGTCGTATTGGTCCTGAGTGCCTTTACCCTTGTTGTACACCTGTTTGTCCAACTCACCACCCACTTGCTGTTTCAGCATCCCCCGCAACTCCGAGGTGATGGGAGAATCTGGGGTCTACACGGCGTTGACGGAGGACGACCCAGTGCTGCAGACCCTGGCCCACACCTACGCCGCAGCCAACACGGCCATGTACGAGTCGGGCACCTGCAGTGGGTCAGGCCTGGAGGGAGTCAAGCATGGGGCTGACATCAACCCTGATGGCAAAGCAGCCCCCCTGATGGACTGGGCGTATGATAAACATCACACTTTTATGGTTAGTAAATGAATGCCTGTAGACAACACTGCATGGTACCAGTGAATGGTTCATGTTTTATGAGGGAATTGAAACTTATGACAATGAGGTATATCTGCCAATTGAACATAGTTTATACAATTGCTCAAAATATATCAAACTTTTATATGTAACTTATCATGTTTTCTTCCAGACAAGCAAAAATGTTGACACAGTAAACTAATGATAAAAGATTTCCTCTACATGTCTCTGCAGTGAAGTTGCCACATGTAAAGCAACCAGTATATTTTCATTCATTTTCATGTTCATTCAAACCTTAGCTTCAACTCTCCATGCTTTATAGAGAATTCAGTTGATATTTACTGCCAAATAACTGCATAACTAACTAGGAAGAGATGCATGTTTGAGTAAGGAAGCTGACAAGTAAGTTTCAAAGTGACATGATGGTGGCAATACCAGCGTGAGTTTCTTGTCCTGTTCCAGTTGTGTGCCTACATCAGCTGTTGTAAATACCCCCCTCCAGACATGCTGCCGAGCCTGTGGATGTCCAATCTCAACCCCTTGATGAACACTCTACTTAAAACCCTACAGGGTAGGTCTGAGTAGTGTCAGAAGTGAAGTCAAACCTCTTTTGTAGATAGAAGTCATCAGAATGGAATTTTGATTTATTAATAGTTTATATTTCTTTTTCTACCGCTGATGTGTGATGGTGATTCATTCAAAACAGGAGGGATATAGCGATCAGCATATCTGTTCATCAGCTGTCCATTTTCCATTTCTGGAGCAGAACTCCTAAACCTATACAGGTCATGCCTTTTGATGTTTTGGGTTTTTAATTTTTATATTATTTGTATTTTTTTCATGACAACAATTTGGACGTAAACTGTAAACGAGGCTATTGCTTGTTTCCCGAGAAGAATGCCAAAACTAATGACTCTTTGTGGATGGAACTTGCTATACACATCAATCTAGTGGTCAACTGGTGCCTTTTGACGATTTGGAAGTTTTATTTGTTTACTTTTTGTTTATTTTCATCATGACAACTTGGACTGAAAACAATGAAAGTGCTCGTTTCCGGAGCAGAACTAAAATATACTGAACAACAAAAGTTCCTGTGACTTTGAATAAGATTTGATGCAAAGTTATGTTTTTCACCAAATCTTGAAATTCGATTTGCAACAGATAAAAAGACTCCTGTAAGTGTTCAAATAGTTTAATTTGCCATACTGACTTCAGAAAATGCGTGATTTCATAAAAAAAACATGAACATGCCAAAATGGCAATTTACAAATCAAAAGTGTGTGTGTCCACTTCTGGTTGCGATGCAAGCAACACATCTTCGTCTCATGGAATGGACCAGGCATCGCTCAAAGTCCTGTGGGATATCTGTCCATATCTGCTGGAGCATGTTCCTGGAGTGTCTGTGGAACACGTGGTTGACGTCGAAGGTGCCGATCCATCTCATCCGACATGTGCTCGATAGAGATCAGGGGAGCGAGCCGGCCAGGGGATGACATTCACGTTGTTTTGTTGAAGAGAATCCTGCACAAGTTGGGCAATATGAGGCCAGGCGTTGTCATGTTGAAAGATTATGCTTGGGCAATGATGACACAAAAACGGTAGAACAACAGGGCCAATGATCTCGTGGCGGTAGCGCTGTTCATTGAGATTTCCCTCTACCACTATCAAACGGGTTCCCTGTCTTGCTGTAATCCCACCCCATACCATAACGCTGCCGCCCCTAAACCGATCTTCTTCTAGACACAATGATTGACGTAACGTTCACCTCGACATTGGTACACTCGAATCCGTCCATCGCCGTGGCTGAGGTGAAAACAAAACTCGTCAGTGAATAGAACTTGTCCCCACTGCATTGCCGTCCAGCGTAGATGCTGTCTGCACCACTGTAGACATGCTTGACGGTGGTTTCCTGTCAAAATGGGACATCTGGCGGGTCTTCTGGCGACAATGCCTTCACATCTGAGGCGACGACGTACAGTTTGTGAAGATAATCCAGTTGTCTTGTAGATTATTGGTTACGCGTGGCCTGCCACTCCGAGGATGGTCTCTCTGACTGCATTCGTCTGTTGTCAACGTTGCCATAAACACCAAATGGTGTTTCTGTGGACGTTAAGTTGTTTGCAACAGGCGTGGCATTTCGTAATGTTGTATATTTATAATATAGTATAATGGGTTTTTTCTGAGTGGTTGTTGTCAGTACGATGCTAAACAATGCATATGGAATCCTGTTAACGCACATGTTTTAATACCCATTCTTTGGTTGTGAAATGCATGGGGCTTGCATAAAAGTCAACTTTTGAATGTAATGCATGCTTTTCTGTAGCAGTTGCGTTTTGTGACTTGATTCCATACATGTACTACAATATTGAAAACCAAACTTGTTTGAAAAATACACTAAAATATTGGTGTCACAGGAACTGTTGTTGTTGATTATATATTGAATATTTCTAGATGAAACTTCCTAAAAGATCAGTCTAGTGGTGAACTGGTGCCTTTTGATGATTTAGGGTGTTGAAAATACTGAAGAGCATTATTTTTTGCTCCACTGAACTGAATGTATCCAATGGCCAAAACTCTATTTCCGAGTTAAACCAGAATGGTAATATGTCATCTCCTGATAACTCTTTTTGTATTGTGAAAATTATTGTTCCCCTGTCATTGACACACAAGTCTGATCATAATGTTATGTTTTTATTGAGTTTGCCATTGCATTTTTATGTAATGGCTTATGTTCACAAAAAACTCCTTCAGCAACATCATGTAGGGAGCCAGGTACTGGGGGTCCCCATGACCAGAAGTCAGGTGGCATAGCTGGGGTAACCCATGTGGTAGCCCAGATTTCACTGTTGTTAATATATTCTCCATGAAGAAAGATAAGCACTATTTCTTCTTTGTTTTCATATATTCCATACATCATTTGGAAATATCTAAATATAACATTGATCTTACCTTGATAAATATCTATCTCATTTGATGCCAAGACATAGAGGGAGCAAAGGGAAGTCAGAGAACTATTGCAATGGAACAAACATATCACTAGTTTTCAAAAATGGACATTTTATATGGAAATATATAGAAAGTGGTGCTTAACTCTAAACTCTTTTACTGTTCTTGTTCAACAGGCCTTTAATGGTAAACAAATGTGTTCTGACTGCAATACTGTCATGATGTAAAGTGGTAACTCATTCACTCAGTCACTGCAGTTTAGTGTTCCCCTCACAAGACTGCTGCCTGTACACAGGTGTCCAGGGGCAAGTGACTGACATCAGCAGCCGCCCCATCAAGGAAGCAGTCATCAAGATGGATAACAGGGAGTTCACCACCTCTGAGGATGGTACATTCTTCTTCCTCCTGAATGAAGGCTTCCACACCATTGAAGCAGATACACTAGGTAATGCATGCACTGACACCATTGAATCTGACAAAGGGCAATGCTTGCACTGACATCACTGAAGCAGAAACACAAGGTAATGCTTGCACTGACACCATTTTAGCACAGACAAGGTAATGCATGCACTGACACCACTCAAGCAGACACAAGGTAATGTTTGCACTTACACCATTGAAGCAGAGACACAAGGTAATGCTTGCACTGACACCATTGGAGCAGAGACACAAGGTAATGCTTGCACTGACACCATGGGAGCAGACACAAGGTAATGCTTGCACTGACACCACTGAAACAGACACAAGGTAATGCTTGCACTGACACCATTGATGCAGCCACAAGGTAATGCTTGCACTGACACCACTGAAGCAGAGACACAAGGTAATGCATGCACTGACACCACTGACGCTGACAAAGGGTAATGCTTGCACTGACATCACTGAAGCAGAGCCACTAGGTAATGCTTGCATTGACACCACTGAAGTGGAGACACAAGGTAATGCATGCACTGCCACCACTGAAGCAGAGATACTAGGTAATGCTTGCACTGACACCACTGAAGCAGAGACACAAGGTTATGCATGCACTGACAAAAGGCAATGCTTGCACTGACATCACTGAAGCAGAGACACAAGGTAATGCAGGCACTGACACCATTGGAGCAGACACAAGGAAATGCTTGCACTGACACCACTGAAACAGACACAAGGTAATGCTTGCACTGACACCATTGATGCAGCCACAAGGTAATGCTTGCACTGACACCACTGTAGCAGAGACAAGGTAATGCATGCACTGACACCACTGAAGCAAAGACAAGGTAATGCATGCACTGACACCACTGAAGCAGACACAAGGCAATGCTTGCACTGACACCATTGAAGCAGAGACACAAGGTAATGCATGCACTGAAACCATTGAAGCAGAGACACAAGGTATAATGCATGCACTGAAACCATAGAATCTGACAAAAGGCAATGCTTGCACTGACATCACTGAAGCAGAGACACAAGGTAATGCAGGCACTGACACCATTGAAGCAGAGACACAAGGTAATGCATGCACTGCCACCACTGAAGCAGAGATACTAGGTAATGCTTGCACTGACACCACTGAAGCAGAGACACAAGGTTATGCATGCACTGACACCATTGAAGTGGAGACACAAGGTAATGCATGCACTGAAACCATTGAATCTGACAAAAGGCCATCTTGCACTGACATCACTGAAGCAGACACAAGGTAATGCATGCACTGAAACCATTGAATCTGACAAAAGGGCATCTTGCACTGACATCACTGAAACAGACACAAGGTAATGCATGCACTGACACCATTGAAACAGAGACACAAGGTAATGCATGCACTGCCACCACTGAAGCAGAGATACTAGGTAATGCTTGCACTGACACCACTGAAGCAGACACAAGGTTTACATGCACTGACACCATTGAAGTGGAGACACAAGGTAATGTTTGCACTGGCACCACTGAAGCAGAGACACAATGTAATGTTTGCACTGACACCACTGAAGTGGAGACACAAGGTAATGCATACAGGGAGTTCACCACCTCTGAGGATGGCACATTCTTCTTCCTCCTGAATGAAGGCTTCCAAATATAACATTGGGAGTTGTTATGTTTATTGTGTTAACTTTGTCATCCATCAACTTCTAACAAATGCATATCATCAAGGTGATGAATTGTTATGATCCACAGGCTATGAGTCATTGAACAAGAAGTTCCTCGTAGAGAGTGACCTGACAAGTGAGGTGAACATGATGTTGACGCCTGAAGCAGACTCACTGGAATATCATAATTATCAACAAACCAAGGACATGCTGCAAGGGCTGACCAATACCTGCAAGGACATTGTTAAGATACACAGGTGAGAACAACTGCTGCTCATGTAGCTGGATGCCAGTGACACGTGTTGTGTGTGTATGGTACATGTCTCTCTGCGTTGTTGTTGCAGTATTGGAACCAGCAGCCTGAAGCGGGACCTCCTCATGGCTGCCAGTGACACGTGTTGTGTGTGTATGGTAGATGTCTCTCTGTGTTGTTGTTGCAGTATTAGAACCAGCAGCCTGAAGCGAGACCGCCTCATGGATGCCAGTGACACGTGTTGTGTGTGTATGGTAGATGTCTCTCTGTGTTGTTGTTGCAGTATTGGAACCAGCAGCCTGAAGCGAGACCTCCTCATGGCTGCCAGTGACACGTTTTGTGTGTGTGTGGTACATGTCTCTCTGTGTTGTTGTTGCAGTATTGGAACCAGCAGCCTGAAGCGAGACCTCCTCATGGCCGACTTCAACAAGCCAGGGATGAACAACACCCCAGGGGTTTTGTTTGTGGGCAGTATCCATGGTAATGAGGCAGTGGGTAGAGAGCTGCTGCTGCTGCTGGCTGATGACATCTGTCGCAATTATGGGAAAGATTCTTACATAACTGATGTAAGTACATGTGTGATAGAGAAGAAAGTTGGATTACATTTTTATGTGATGGCAATATTTTATGACTCAGAGGAAGTTAAAGAACACCCATGAAGATTCCGGGGTAGAATAGATCTTCGGCAACCCATACTTGCCATAAAAGGCGACTATGCTTGTCGTAAAAGGGATGGGATGGTCAGGCTTGCTGACTTGGTTGATGCATGTCATCGATTCCAATTGCGTGGATCGATGCTCATGATGTCAATCACTGGATTGTCTGGTCCAGACTCGATTATTTTACAGACCGCCATCATATTGCTGGAATATTGCTGAGTGCGGCGTTAAACAACAATCAAACAAATCGAAAAACTAAAGAACATCCTAAATATAGTTAACTATAGTTAATCTGCAATGGCTGGTGGGTATTGCAACACACACCCTTCCAATTGTTAGTGTTCTTCAACTTGTTTTGAGTCGTACAGTCACTGCATGTCAGAGCAGGCTTTTAGGGACCTGTCATTTATTACATTTTTTATGACCTCTGCTGATTCCCCTCTGACCCTTCCTACTCAGTTTTAGTTGATTGGACACCTGTGTTTCATCGGATCCTGCTTTTTGGTTTCTTCAGTCCTATTAAAGGTGCATATGGGATGACAGGGTTGATTCTGTGTCCCCTTGATCATTGAAATATCACATACAGGAACCTGGTATAGAGATATCAGCTTAGTAAAGTTGGTCTGGTTGTGTGTTGCAGCTTGTAGACAGCACCCGTCTGTACCTCCTGCCATCCCTCAACCCCGATGGCGTGGCATTGTCCCAGGAAGGCTGTGAGTCAAAACACGGACACAACAATGGCAGAGACATGGACCTGGACATGGCCTTCCCAGGTAGGTTTGTCTACACACTGGTACATACACTGAGCTAGTGTTACTGGTTGACATTGGTTGTGTGTTGTAACATGAGAGGGTTTGGGTTGTGTGTTTACACTGGTGGGCATTTTGACAGCTGAACAATGTTTGTGCAGGTATTGAGGCGGACTTGAGGCATATCCTGGAGCCGGAGGTGGCATCCCTCACCCAATGGATGGCTGGCACAGATCTGTGTACAGCCATCAGCCTACAGAGCGGAGACCTGGTCGTCACATACCCTCACAGGAGAACAGGTAGGTCCACCATATTTCTTCAGTCAGCTGGGACAGGTAGGTCCACCATATTTCTTCAGTCTGCTGGGACAGGAGGACAGGTAGGTCCACCATGTTTCTTCAGTCAGCTGCCACAGGAGGACAGGTGGGTACACCATGTTTCTTCAGTCTGCTGGGACAGGAGGACAGGTAGGTCCACCATGTTTCTTCAGTCAGCTGGGACAGGAGGACAGGTAGGTGCACCATGTTTCTTCAGTCTGCTGGGACAGGAGGACAGGTAGGTCCACCATGTTTCTTCAGTCAGCTGGGACAGGAGGACAGGTAGGTGCACCATGTTTCTTCAGTCTGCTGGGACAGGAGGACAGGTAGGTCCACCATGTTTCTTCAAACTGCTGGGACAGGAGGACAGGTAGGTCCACCATGTTTCTTCAAACTGCTGGGACAGGAGGACAGGTAGGTCCACCATGTTTCTTCAGTCAGCTGGGACAGGTAGGTCCACCATGTTTCTTCAGTCTGCTGGGACAGGAGGACAGGTAGGTCCACCATGTTTCTTCAGTCAGCTGGGACAGGAGGACAGGTAGGTACACCATGTTTCTTCAGTCTGCTAGGACAGGAGGACAGGTAGGTCCACCATGTTTCTTCAGTCAGCTGCGACAGGAGGACAGGTGGGTACACCATGTTTCTTCAGTCTGCTTGGACAGGTAGGTACAACATGTTTCTTCAGTCTGCTGGGACAGGCGGGTACACCATGTTTCTTCAGTCTGCTGGGACAGGTAGGTCCACCATGTTTCTTCAGTCTGCTGGGATAGGTGGGTACACCATGTTTCTTCAGTCAGCTGGGACAGGAGGACAGGTAGGTCCACCATGTTTCAATGCAATGCTATTGTGTTGTTTGTGTTTTTTGTTTGAAAACCATTCCTATTGTGTTGGTACAGCTCTGACTGTGAAGGCTGATGAGGCCACACTGAAGAAACTTGCCTCGGCCTACGTGAACAACCACCCCCAGCTCCAGTCCGGGGCAGCGGGCTGTGGCAGCACCAAGGGTAGGTTCTATATCGCCATTCACAGCACTGTTGATTACTTCAGGAAGCTATTCATGAATGTTTGCACACATATCTTCGAAAGCTGAAGAAGTATATTTGCCTTTAGTTCATCCAAAGCTAAGTTTTACCTGTAATTGTAAACCTGCTGCCACTTTTGCCAATAGTATTGTAGGAATCTTGCTACCTTGTGAGAGGTACTACTTTCAAGTGAGGCATGCTGAAAGGTTTTACAATTGAAATTTAAGACCTAAGTTTTACAGTTGAATTTTATAAACAGCCTGTTAATATGCATCTTATGTTGATTTTTTGATTGGTTAAAAGTCACAGTTTCTTTTACGGGAGAATTGTATGTCATGAATCGAACCTGCAACCTCAAATATTGTGTTAGTATTTGAACCCACTGTGAGCTACCGGCACAGGTGATGAAAGGGTGTTTAATCTTACATTCACTGACTTAGGTTGTTGAGTTACTGTTGCTACTCACATGATTTCATTGAATATAACCTGTGAAGGTTATGGTGGATGTATTCGATATAACCTGTGAAGGTTACTGTGGATGTACTCTATAACCTGTGAAGGTTACTGTGGATGTACTCTATAACCTGTGAAGGTTACGGTGGATGTACTCAATATAACCTGTGAAGGTTACAGTGGGTGTATTCTATAACCTGTGAAGGTTACGGTGGTAGTCCTCTATATAACCTGTGAAGGTTACGGTGGGTGTACGCTATAATCTGTGAAGGTTACGGTGGGTGTATTCTATAACCTGTGAAGGTTACTTTTGGTGTATTCTATAACCTGTGAAGGTGACTGTGGATGTACTCTATAACCTGTTATGGTTACGGTGGGTGTGCTCTATATAACCTGTGAAGGTTACTGTGGGTGTACGCTATAATCTGTGAAGGTTACGGTAGGTGTATTCTATAACCTGTGAAGGTTACTGTGGGTGTACTCTATAACCTGTGAAGGTTACGGTGGATGTACTCGATATAACCTGTGAAGGTTACGGTGGGTGTATTCTATATAACCTGTGAAGGTAACGGTGGGTGTACTAAATATAACCTGTGAAGGTTACGGTGGGTGTATTCTATATAACCTGTGAAGGTAACGGTGGGTGTACTCAATATAACCTGTGAAGGTTACTGTGGGTGTACTCTATATAACCTGTGAATGTAACGGTGGGTGTACTCAATATAACCTGTGAAGGTTACGTTGGGTGTACTCTATATAACCTGTGAAGGTTACTGTGGGTGTATTCTATAACCTGTAAAGGTTACTGTGGGTTTCCTCTATATAGCCTGTGAATGTTACTGTGGGTGTATTCTACATCAAGCTACGGAATAGCCTTTATGTGAGGTTTTACAGTTGCAACCAGCTCTTTTTGCAACATTTATGTATATGGTAGCCAAATGTCCAGGTACATGTTGAATGTTGCAGGTCACTACCCTGGAGGAATGGTCAGTGCCTTCAGTCAACACAACCACTCGGGGAGTTTCATGGTGAGCTCCCTACCCTCACATACACATACTGAACTTCTGGCTTTGACAGTACTTGTATAAGACTAAAGTCTGTGTACTCTATATAACCTGTGAAGGTTACTGTGCGTGTACTCTATAACCTGAGAAGGTGACTGTGGGTGTACTCTATAACCTATGAAGGTTACGGTGGGTGTATTCTATATAACCTGTGAAGGTTACGGTGGGTGTCCTCTATATAACCTTTGAAGGTTACGGTGGATGTACTCGATATAGCCTGTGAATGTTACTGTGGGTGTATTCTATAACCTGTGAAGGTTACTGTGGGAGTACTCTATAACCTGTGAAGGTTACGGTGGGTGTCCTCTATATAACCTGTTAAGGTTACTGTGGATGTATTCTATAACCTGTGAAGGTTACGGTGGGTGTATACTATAACCTGTGAAGGTTACGGTGGGTGTACTCTATAACCTTTGAAGGTTACTGTGGGTATATACTATAACCTGTGAAGGTTACGGTGGGTGTCCTCTATATAACCTATGAAGGTTACGGTGGGTGTACTCTATATAACCTGTGAAGGTTACTGTGGATGTATTCTATAACCTGTGAAGGGTACGATGGGTGTCCTCTATATAGCCTGTGAAGATAACGGTGGGTGTATTCTATAACCTGTGAAGGTTACGGTGGGTGTATTCTTTAACCTGTGAAGGTTACTGTGGGTGTATTCTATAACCTGTGAAGGTTACGGTGGGTGTATTCTTTAACCTGTGAAGGTTACTGTGGATGTACTCGATATAACCTGTGAAGGTTACTGTGGGTGTATTCTATAACCTGTGAAGGTTACTCTTGGTGTATTTTTTAACCTGTGAAGGTTACTGTGGATGTACTCGATATAACCTGTGAAGGTTACTGTGGGTGTATTCTATAACCTGTTAAGGTTACGGTGGGTGTATTCTTTAACCTGTGAAGGTTACTGTGGGTGTCCTCTATATAACCTGTGAAGGTTACGGTGGGTGTATTCTTTAACCTGTGAAGGTTACTGTGGGTGTATTCTATAACCTGTGAAGGTTACAGTGGGTGTATTCTTAAACCTGTGAAGGTGACTGTGGATGTACTCGATATAACCTGTGAAGGTAACGGTGGGTGTATTCTATAACCTGTGAAGGTTACGGTGGGTGTATTCTTTAACCTGTGAAGGTTACGGTGGGTGTCCTCTATATAACCTGTGAAGGTTACGGTGGATGTACTCGATATAGCCTGTTAATGTTACTGTGGGTGTATTCTATAACCTGTGAAGGTTACTGCGGGAGTACTCTTTAACCTGTGAAGGTTACGGTGGGTGTCCTCTATATAACCTGTGAAGGTTACTGTGGATGTATTCTATAACCTGTGAAGGTTACGGTGGGTGTATACTATAACCTGTGAAGGTTACGGTGGGTGTACTCTATAACCTTTGAAGGTTACTGTGGGTGTACACTATAACCTGTGAAGGTTACGATGGGTGTCCTCTATATAGCCTGTGAAGATAACGGTGGGTGTATTCTATAACCTGTGAAGGTTACGGTGGGTGTAATCTTTAACCTGTGAAGGTTACTGTGGGTGTATTCTATAACCTGTGAAGGTTACGGTGGGTGTATTCTTTAACCTGTGAAGGTTACTGTGGATGTACTCGATATAACCTGTGAAGGTTACTGTGGGTGTATTCTATAACCTGTGAAGGTTACTGTGGGTGTATTCTTTAACCTGTGAAGGTTACTGTGGGTGTCCTCTATATAACCTGTGAAGGTTACGGTGGGTGTATTCTTAACCTGTGAAGGTTACTGTGGGTGTATTCTATAACCTGTGAAGGTTACAGTGGGTGTATTCTTTAACCTGTGAAGGTTACTGTGGATGTACTCGATATAACCTGTGAAGGTAACGGTGGGTGTACTCTATATAACCTGTGAAGGTTACAGTGGGTGTATTCTATAACCTGTGAAGGTTACTATTGGTGTATTCTTCAACCTGTGAAGGTTATGGTGGGTGTATTCTATATAACCTGTGAAGGTTACGGTGGGTGTACTCTATAACCTGTGAAGGTAACGGTGGGTGTATTCTATAACCTGTGAAGGTTACTGTATGTGTACTTTGTAACATATTGTAAAGGTTACTGTGGGTGTACTATATGATGTCTTGTAAAGGTTACTGTGGGTGTACTATATACAGTATTGTAAAGGTTACTGTGGGTGTACTCTGTAACATATTGTAAAGGTTACTGTATGTGTACTCTATAATGTATTGTAGAGGTTACTGGTCGGCTCTGAGTCAGTATGCTGTGTCTGAGTGGGATATACATGTTAAACTGCGGCATGGTATCTCAGTGAGCTAGCACTATAAATTGGCATCAGTCCGGACTAGTACAAGCAGCAACACACGTACATGCACGTCGCTATATAAGTGCAATAATCTTGGACGCGACGTTAAACCCCATTTCACCTCACCGTATTGTAAAGGTTACTGTGGGTGTACTCTATAATGTCTTGTAGAGGTTTCTGTGGGTGTACTATATAATGTATTGTAGAGGTTACTGTGGGTGTACTCTATAATGTATTGTAAAGGTTACTGTGGGTGAACTATATAATGTCTTGTATAGGTTGCTGTGGGTGTACTCTAAAAAGGAATTGTAGAGGTTACTGTGGGTGTACTCTATAATGTATTGTAGAGGTTACTGTGGGTGTACTCTATAATGTATTGTAGAGGCTACTGTGGGTGTACTCTATAATGTATTGTAAAGGTTACTGTGGGTGTACTCTATAATGTCTTGTATAGGTTTCTGTGGGTGTACTCTATAAGGTATTGTAGAGGTAACTGTGGGTGTACTCTATAATGTATTGTAGAGGCTACTGTGGGTGTACTGTATAATGTATTGTAGAGGTTTCTGTGGGTGTACTCTATAATGTATTGTAGAGGTTACTGTGGGTGTACTATATAATGTATTGTAGAGGTTTCTGTGGGTGTACTATATAATGTATTGTAGAGGCTACTGTGGGTGTACTCTATAATGTCTTGTATAGGTTTCTGTGGGTGTACTCTATAATGTATTGTAGAGGTTACTGTGGGTGTACTATATAATGTATTGTAGAGGTTACTGTGGGTGTACTCTATAATGTATTGTAGAGGCTACTGTGGGTGTACTCTATAATGTATTGTAGAGGTTTCTGTGGGTGTACTCTATAATGTATTGTAAAGGTTACTGTGGGTGTACTCTATAATGTATTGTTAAGGTTTCTGTGGGTGTACTATATAATGTATTGTAGAGATTTCTGTGGGTGTACTCTATAATGTATTGTAAAGGTTACTGTGAGTGTACTCTATCATGTATTGTAGAGGTTACTGTGGGTGTACTCTATAATGTATTGTAGAGGCTACTGTGGGTGTACTCTATAATGTATTGTAGAGGTTACTGTTTGTGTACTCTATAATGTATTGTAGAGGCTACTGTGGGTGTACTCTATAATGTATTGTAGAGGTTTCAGTGGGAGTACTATATAATGTATTGTAGAGATTTCTGTGGGTGTACTCTATAATGTATTGTAAAGGTTACTGTGGGTGTACTCTATAATGTATTGTAGAGGTTACTGTGGGTGTACTCTATAATGTATTGTAAAGGCTACTGTGGGTGTACTCTATAATGTATTGTAGAGGTTACTGTGGGTGTACTCTATAATGTATTGTAAAGGCTACTGTGGGTGTACTCTATAATGGATTGTAGAGGTTTCTGTGGGTGTCCTCTATAATTTATTGTAGAGGTTACTGTGGGTGTACTATATAATGTATTGTAGAGATTTCTGTGGGTGTACTCTATAATGTATTGTAGAGGTTACTGTGGGTGTACTCTATAATGTATTGTAGAGGTTACTGTTGGTGTACTCTATAATGTATTGTAGAGGCTACTGTGGGTGTACTGTATAATGTATTGTAGAGGTTTCTGTGGGTGTACTCTATAATGTATTGTAAAGGCTACTGTGGGTGTACTATATAATGTATTGTAGAGATTTCTGTGGGTGTACTCTATAATGTATTGTAGAGGTTTCTGTGGGTGTCCTCTATAATGTATTGTAGAGGTTACTGTGGGTGTACTATATAATGTATTGTAGATATTTCTGTGGGTGTACTCTATAATGTATTGTAAAGGTTACTGTGGGTGTACTCTATAATGTATTGTAAAGGATACTGTGGGTGTACTCTATAATGTATGGTATTGATTTCTGTTGATGACTATATAACATGACATTGACATGCTGACCTCAGTGTTTTCATTCCTCTAGGACTACATCTACGACAGCCAGCACATCCCCACCATCACTGTCTACACAGGCTGCTGCATCCATCCACAGTCCTCCTCACTCATTGACCTCTGGCACGCAAACAGGAAGTCCCTTCTTGCTGTCATACAGGAGGTGAGTGTCTGACAGAAGACTACAACACTCTGAGAGCTATGCTGGCAGCAGCATCGATTGCTAGAATCTGCCTAGATGTCAGGTGCTGTGATAGCTAGAATCTGTCTTGATATCAGGGGATGGAATAGCTGGAGTCTGCCTGGATATCAGGGGCTGGAGTCTGCCAATATATATGGGGCTGTGATCGCTGGAGTCTGCCTAGATATCAGGTGCTGGAATAGCTGGAGTATGCCTAGATGTAGGGGCTGTGATAGCTAGAGTCTGCCTAGATATCAGGGGCTGTGATAGCTGGAGTTTGCCTAGATATAGGGGCTGTGATAGCTGGAGTATGCCTAGATATGAGGGTCTGTGATAGCTAGAGTCTGCCTAGATATCAGGTGCTTGAATGGCTGGACTATGCCTAGATATAGGGGCTGTGATAGCTAGAGTATGCCTAGATATGAGGGTCTGTGATAGGTAAAATATGCCTAGATACCAGGGGTTGGAATAGCTGGAGTCTGCCTGGATACCAGGAGCTTGGTAGGCAAGATTCTGTCTATATATTAGAAGTATGGAAAGCTAGAATCTGCCTAGATATGGAGGCCCTATTATGTAAAGTCTGCCGAGATAACAGCAGCATCGATAGCTAGAGTCTGATATGAACATCGGTAGCTGTGTAGCCTAGAACACAGGAGTACCAATTGTTAGTGACTGCCTAGATATCAAGGGTGGGGAAAGCACCTAGATATCAAGGGTTGGGATAGCACTTAGATATCAAGGGTTGGGATAGCACCTAGATATCAAGGGTTGGGATAGCACCTAGATATCAGGGTTGGGATAGCACCTAGATATCAGGGTTGGGATAGCACCTAAGATAACAGGGTGGGGATAGCACCTAGATATCAGGGTGAGGATAGCACCTAGACATCAAGGGTGTTGATAGCACCTAGATATAAGGGTGGGGATGGCACCTAGATATCAAGGGTTGGGATAGCACCTAGATATCAGGGTGTTGGGCAAGCACCTAGACATCAAGGGTTGGGATAGCTCCTAGATATGAAGGGTCGGGACAGCACCTAGATATCAGGGTTGGGATAGCACCTAGATGTCAAGGGTTGGGATAGTACCTAGATATCAGGGTGGGGATAGCACCTAGAAATCAAGGGTTGGGATAGCACCTAGATATCAGGGTGGGGATAGCACCTAGATATCAAGGGTTGGGATAGCACCTAGATATCAAGGGTGTTGAAAGCACCTTGATATCAAGGGTTGGGATAGCACCTAGATATCACGGTTGGAACAGCACTTAGATATCAAGGTTGGGTATAGCACCTAGATATCAAGGGTTGGGATAGCACCTAGATATCAAGGGTGTTGAAAGCACCTTGATATCAAGGGTTGGGATAGCACCTAGATATCAGGGTGGGGATAGCACCTAGATATCAGGGTTGGGATAGCACCTAAGATAACAGGGTGGGGATAGCACCTAGATATCAGGGTGAGGATAGCACCTAGACATCAAGGGTGTTGATAGCACCTAGATATAAGGGTGGGGATGGCACCTAGATATCAAGGGTTGGGATAGCACCTAGATATCAGGGTGTTGGGCAAGCACCTAGACATCAAGGGTTGGGATAGCTCCTAGATATGAAGGGTCGGGACAGCACCTAGATATCAGGGTTGGGATAGCACCTAGATGTCAAGGGTTGGGATAGTACCTAGATATCAGGGTGGGGATAGCACCTAGAAATCAAGGGTTGGGATAGCACCTAGATATCAGGGTGGGGATAGCACCTAGATATCAAGGGTTGGGATAGCACCTAGATATCAAGGGTGTTGAAAGCACCTTGATATCAAGGGTTGGGATAGCACCTAGATATCACGGTTGGAACAGCACTTAGATATCAAGGTTGGGTATAGCACCTAGATATCAAGGGTTGGGATAGCACCTAGATATCAAGGGTGTTGAAAGCACCTTGATATCAAGGGTTGGGATAGCAGCTAGATATCAGGGTGGGGATAGCACCTAGATATCAAGGGTTTGGATAGCACCTAGATATCAAGGGTGTTGAAAGCACCTTGATATCAAGGGTTGGGATAGCACCTAGATATCACGGTTGGAACAGCACTTAGATATCAAGGTTGGGTATAGCACCTAGATATCAAGGGTTGGGATAGCACCTAGATATCAAGGGTGTTGAAAGCACCTTGATATCAAGGGTTGGGATAGCACCTAGATATCAAGGGTGTTGAAAGCACCTTGATATCAAGGGTTGGGATAGCACCTAGATATCACGGTTGGGACAGCACTTAGATATCAAGGTTGGGGATAGCACCTAGATATCAGGGTGGGGATAGCACCTAGATATCAGGGTGGAGATAACACCTAGATTCAAGAGTTGGGATAGCACCTAGATATCAGGGTGGGGATAGCTAGTTGATGCCTTGGTGTCATGGACAAGACATAGTTTGTGACAGATGTGACAGTGGAAGGGGCTGTTGTGCTTGGCTTATGTGTAACTATTATCTACAGTCATATACATTCTACAAAATATCAGTCTCTTTAAAAGTTGCAAATTTACAAAGAATACCAGTAGGTCTGAAGTCTGCACCTTCACTGAAGTCTGCATCCCGCAAGTTAGGTGCTGGTTTAGAGATATAACATGAAAGGATTAAATGGTTTAAACTAGCTCCACCATTAATGATGATGTCTGATACCCTGCTGCAGTCCCACAACGGTGTGTCCGGCTCAGTGGTCAGCAAGCAGTCCAGTAACAGTGTGGGGGGCGTCATCATTTACGTGGAGGACTCGGGCACATTCCAGACTCTCGCCGACCCTCAAGGCCACTTCCACATGTACCTGGCCCCTGGCAAATACACCCTGAAGACCTTCAGTCCGGAATTCCCACAACAAAAGATGGTAAAGTTTAAAGTACAGGTATTCATGTGCAAGGCTTGTTTTCGTCTTTGTGAGACTCCTGGGGAGAATGGGTCCATGCAATGCTTGTTGTAAGAACTGATAACATTCGTGGGAGTGTGATACTGTGCTGACTGTGCACCATCATACGCTTGGAACTCTGCTGCTGCTTGTCTGGTTCACTGTGGATGTACAGGTCACCAGGATTTAGCTGGAATATAGCTGACACCATCACTCACAAAGCATATCATCACTCCTGTTTAACTCATGTGAGACCATGTACTGTTGAGTGTGGTGCTGTATTTGTCAGTGTTGCAGTGTGAAATATATTTCCCCAGACCACAGGACTGGCTGTTTGAAATTCTTACCAGCCCTTGTCAAAAGTTGCCAGTCCCAATTTTATGGGTTAAAACATGATGATTCATCTCTTTTTCTGTTGTCTGTTACACTGAACAAAATGGACACCATGGAGATTATAACTAATTACTAATTGGCAGAAATTACATTAAGTAATACGTTACCACTGTTATACCGAGGCTGTTGTCCCCCACAACTGCTCTTATAGCGAAATCTTCCACAGAGATCTCAATCACCTCATGCAGCAAGTGCGTAGCCACCTAGCTGCCATGTGACACCTTTCACTCTTGTCTCTTTAATTGCCTTCGCAAGACGTATATAACGACTGCTCTGCGTTCTACCAGCCTCCTACTATCCTTGGTGATATTTATTACTGTTTCTTAGTCCTAAGTAAACTGTAATTTACGGGGCGTTTGTTATACAGCGCTTAGAAAATTTTCCCGCCTTTTTTCGCTAATAACGGGGTGGGGTGTTTTTTGCATCACCTATTAATATATATATGTATATCTATAATACATGTATTTTATGTATTTCGCTGTGTTTTTCTTTGGAAAATCTACGTTTGTGAATATGTTTGGTGTGTGTGTTGTAACCATGTTTTGCTTTTTGTTCAAAGAACAATGTCTGACATAGAGATGGATTTGTCCAGCACCCCGACTACTCCTGTTACCAGGCGCTGCAGCGCCTGTCAGAGGCTTTCGTCCAGTCGGGCGCCCATTGCGGGCACTACCTCCTCGGCGGCGGATCCCTTGGCGGCCCTTGGGCTGTCCGGTGCTTCCGTCGCGGCTTTGTTGTCTAAACTGGTGGACTCCAAACTGGCGGCCTTATCTCAGGATAAGGCCCTGGTTGTTCCGTCCCCGGCCCCTTCGGTGGCTGCGGGTTCTGACGTGGGGTCCACGGGTACGGCGGCGGCTACTGTAGTCACCGGTCCTTCCCCCGAGCCGATACTCCCGTTATCGACTAAGGACCGTGTGGCCATGGTGTATGACCTCTTTGAGGACATGCCACGGCCCCAGCCGGTACCCCGGGGAATCCACAGCTCGGTGGGTTCCTCCAAGGTTTTTGATGAGTCCGCCGACAAGGCTTTTCTGCTTCAACTTTGTTGCGCGGGATCAAGCCGTCTTTGGAGAAAGCCTTCGCGGCGGCCTCCGGTCGGGGACTCCCGTTACCTCCTCCGTCGTGGAGAAAGGGTTCAGTCCCGGTGCATGACCTGGCCTTCCCCGAGGTAGGTCCCACCGCGGAGGCCCATGTGGAGAGGTTGGGTGTCCGTGCCCCACCTGCTGCTACAGTCACTCAAGCGACTTTACAGCAAATGGACACCCTCTCTCGGCACTCCATGCTCGCTATGTCACATGGCGACACCTACTTGGCGGCGGCGGCCAGTCTGGTCAAAGGTTCCCCCACGGACCGAGACCAGCGCATTTATAACTGTTTAATCGGTTTGAATGCAACCCTTGAGTACGTTGCCGGGGCTTTGGCCTTTCTTTCCGGCACGTGCCATTTCTTGAGGCGGCAAGTGTACCTTGCCGCCTCTGGGTTGGACGCCGCCAACCAAGAGGTGTTACTTTCGCAGCCTTTGCCTGCGCAGACCCTGTTTAATAATCGGATCCCTGGTGTTCTAAAAGAACAGCAGTCTGCTTCATCTGTTCATACGTTGGATCTGGTTGGGTCTCTGCACAGACGCCTGGTTGGCGCCCCTAAACAGAGTGCCCCTCAGGATGCTGCGGCCGGGAAGTCCAAGGGGTCGGTGTCTTCTTCCTCTGGGAAGAGGTCCCGCCCTGAGGGCCCCGGTAAGGGCAACATGCCGCCCTATCGGGGAAGAAGGGGCACTGAGGCTCCTCCAAATGACTCTCGCTTGCAAGGTTCGTTTGCCGACAACGCCAGCTTCGGTTGGCCCGTCGGCGAACCCGAGTCATTCAGCCCTGGACAGTTGCGCCTGCCGCAGCCTGTCAGGCCTCCCTTCCCTTCCCCTGTCGGAGCCAGACTCCAGACTTATTGGGAGAATTGGGAACAAGTGTTCAACGACCCCTGGGTGGTCAACACGATCTGGTACGGCTATCGGCTAGATCTCAAAGCGGATCCGCTGCTCACTTTCGCCCCGTTGGAAGGTTTCTATTCGGAAGCCAATCTTCCCATCCTCGCCGATGCCATCGGCAGGTTGGTGGAGAAGAGGGCGGTACGGGAGTTAGCTCTACCAGAAATAACACCAGGGTTTTACTCCAGGATATTTCTCGTTCCCAAGAAGGACAGTGCCGAACTCAGAATGATTCACAATCTGAAATCCTTCAACGAAATCCTTTACCTGCACAAGCCGCCCAAGTTCAGAATGTTGACCTTGGCGGACCTGAAAGATCTGATCATGCCGGCCAACTGGTTCGCTTCAATCGACCTGAAGGATGCTTATCTGCATGTTCCGATTCACTGGGACCATCACAAGTATCTCAGGTTTGTCTTTCAAGGCAGGCACTACGAGTGGGTTGTTCTCCCATTCGGCCTTTCTTCCGCTCCCTGGCTGTTCACCCGGTTGACCACCCCAATAGTGGGGTTCCTCCACAGGAGGTGTGTCAGGTACTTCCCGTACCTAGTGGCCAAACGAATGACGGACACCCTGTCACACCAACTCGATTTCGCACTTCGGCTCTTGGAGCAATTGGGGTGGATTATCAATCTCCCCAAGAGCGAGTTACCCCCTCACAGAACTTGAAGTTCATCGGAGGTCGGTTCGACACGGTGACCCATCGCCTCTTTGTCCCCCCAGACCGGTGGCACAAGATTCAGGTGATGATTGCCAAAGTCTTAGCGGTGCAACAGACTGTTTACTTTTGCGTCAGCCCAGGACTGCACCGATCGGGGTCCTCTCCAACTCCGCCCGCTGCAACGGTTTCTTATCCAGTTGTTCGCACAGGAGGAGAACAGTGCGACCGTCGCCCTCCCGGATCGGCTCCGGCCGCATCTGGAGTGGTAGACGGTCCCTTGAAACGTCTTATCAGGAGTCTCTATGCGGCCCTTCCGGGCCACGTTGAACCTGTATACAGACGCCTCTCTAGTGGGCTGGGGCGCCCATCTAGAGGGGGAGGTGAGCTCGGGGCTGTGGTGCGTAGACGAACTAGGTCTTCACATCAATTGCCTCGAGTTCAAGGCAATGATAAACGCAGTCAATCACTGGAAGCATCGTCTCGTTGACGCCCAGCTCATGCTGGCGACCGACAACACGACGGTAGTGTCCTATGTGAACAAACTGGGGGGAACCCAGTCACTCGCTACTCGATCTCATGTTCGAGTTTTACGCTCTGGTGGACAGTGTCCCGTGCCAGGTACGCGCCCGTCACATCCCAGGTGTGCGGAACGTACTGGCCGACGCTCTATCGAGGCCTCGGGATCCGAGACCCACGGAGTGGATGCTAAACCCAGTAGTGTTTCAGTTGCTGTGCAAACGTTTGGGTCGTCCGATGGTCGACCTGTTCGCAACACGGTTCAACAATCAACTCCCTTTGTTTGTATCACCAGTCCCGGACCCGAGGGCCATCGATCACAATGCTCTTGCGTAAGTCTGGACGGGCATGGACGCTTATGCTTACCCGCCGACGGCGTAAATACCACTCATTCTAAGCCGGATCTGAGGAGTTCGCTGTCGAATGTTACTGATCACGCCCATGTGGCCTGTTCAGAACAGATCGTGGTACCCCGACTTGCTGGCCCAGGTCACGCCACTTTCACTGCCTGTGAGACCGGATCTCCTAAACGACCCTCACACCCGTCAGCTTCATCCAAACGCAGGGCAGTTCAATCTGCACGCATGGATGTTGTCACCGAGCGTCTGAGGAGTAAAGGTTTTTCTTGTCGGGCGTCTCGGGCATACGTTAGTATGCATCGTGATTCTCTCCAGGAGGTGTATAATGCACGTTGGGCTATTTTCACGAAGTGGTGTTGTAAACATCACATTCATTCGCCAGTTAGGTATCTGTGCAGGATATTGCTCGTTACGAGAGACCCGGAAACTCTCCGGGGGTTCCATTGCCAACTATGTCTCGTCCGTTGCTACGGTACGGGACGTTGCTATGGGTACCAGTCTCTCAAAAGAGCCGGTGATTCGGGGTATTATCAAGGGTTTCAAACAGCAAAATCTTAAAAAGGGCCGCCTTCGGGCACCGGCCTGGGATCTCTCCTTAGTGGTGAAATCACTTATGGAGGCTCCGTATAAACCCTTGGGTAGTGCTTCGGTCTGGCATGTGACTTGGAAAACAGCATTTCTCCTCTCCTTTGCCACGGCGGCACGAGTGTCGGAAATACACGCACTTGATGTCACCAAAGTAAGATTCGATAGAATCAGAAATTTGGCCAAACGGAGAGAGAATTCACTGTAAGATCCCTCAAAGAAATCTTACATCCTGCTGATACCGAGGACAGATCGCTGTGTCAGGTTAGGGCCCTTATGTTTTATCTTAAGGCTTCGAATGAACTTAGACAAGGGCGTGACCGTCTGTTCATATCGTGTAACCCTAATCGGACTGCTGACATAACTCGCAACTCGATTGCGTTATGGCTTCGTTCTGTCATCAATCTGGCGTACCTCGGGGGTTACCGGTTGCGGGGTCAAACCCACACGAGATTAGGGCGCTAGCGGCAACATTTGCCCTACACTCCAATATATCTGTTCACAGAATATTGCAGGGTTGTTACTGGCGTTCTGACTCAGTTTTTGCCAATCATTACCTCAGAAAGGTCTCTGATGAAGACGTGGAGGGTGTGCACCGTCTTGGGCCGCTGATTGCGGCACAAGCGGTCATCTAAGGGGTGTGCCCGGCGCAATTCCGAACTCCTCAGGCTTCAGACCTTGCACGGTGGTCAATCTGGGTCTACTCCAACGTTGCCACAGCCGTGGGTACGGGAGTGGGGGTCCCACAAGCCAGCGCACTCATCCACTGGTGAGTGCGGCTTTCTGTGTGTTTCTTTATTTTGAATTGACAATTATGTACTTAATTGTCTGTCGTGAATTGCAACCTTGTAATGCATGCTTTCAAATATTGAATTTAGGTCACGCGCCTATTAAATACGCTTAAGTAGGTTTGTTCTTGGGATATACGGTCCGAATGAAATTAATTTCCCTCTTTTCGACTGTTTAACCTGATCTAAGATTCAGCTCACACGGATACTGTGTTCTCATCCGCTGCGGCGATGAAATACCTATCCAGTGGGGCTGTTTGGAGTCACCAATCGTTTGGCAATAACAATTGAGCCTTGGGGTATGCACTTGACAGTGCTTTGGTATCCCTATATGGTAACGCCAAGCTGGGAGCATACGCATCGAGTGCTTCCGCCTTGTTGTATACTTCCGCTGGTCGGAAGAAACACGAGCAGTCAGGTTTCGGGTTGTAGGTGCTCCCCACCACCTACTGTGGTAGTCAGCCTCGGTATAACAGTGGTAATAATGTAATTAAATGTAATTTGTAGAATTTTCCTATTCGGAATATTCTATAAGTAATACATTACCACTGGGCTGCTGCCCGCTCGTCCGTCCCCTGAGTACTTGCTCTCGCAAGAGACAAGAGTGAAGGGTGTTACATGGCAGCTAGGTGGCTACGCACGTGCTGCATGAGGTGATTGAGATCTCTGTGGAAGATTTCGCTATAAGAGCAGTTGTGGGGGACAACAGCCTCGGTTTAACAGTGGTAACGTATTACTTATAGAATATTCCGAATAGGAACATTCTACAAAACATATGGAACTTTGTATTTCACCCCTCCTTGGTGGAATTGACCCACAGATGGAGGGATGCTCAATTGTCTGATTTATTATGTTACAGAGTATCACAGTGGGGAGTAGTTCTCAAGGAAAAGATGCCAGGATTATCCTGTCGAAGCCAACATCCAAGACACTTCTTGTTGTTGCAGCAGGTGAGAGATTTGGGAGGTGTCATTCCAACTGTAATGAACACTTGCTTTCTCAAGTATAGGACCTGACCATTGGTGTAATAGGACTAGCATGACACACATTCCTGTATGTTACATTTGTAAGTGAACTGACACTGTATGCAATTTCCTGTCTGTCCGTATCACTCTCAAGGCTAACAGGGTCAGTGTGACCCTATTTCTGTTGTAGTTCCCCCTGCATACTACAACAATGTGTATTTCCAGGTGTCATCGGCTTCGTCACCATCGTTGCCATCACTGTCGTCATCTGTTTGAGGACGGGGAAGAACAAGAAGTATGACAACATCGGCTTCCATCGCCTGAACGGGGAGGAGGAAGGTGACGATGACTATAATTTGTTTGGCAAGAAGAACAACTACAGTACAAAGGAATATCATGACTACAGCTCAGATGATGAACATGATCTTTATGATGGCCGACTGTTAAAACGATAGTCACATTTTAACATTTTATACTCACAGATAACATGTGTTGGAGATATACTACTAAGAACCTCTGGGATATACTGTAAGTCATGAAATTGATGCACATTTTGGTCATCTGATAAATAAGAGTGCTCCTCACTTGCATTATTAAAGTGAAACCTTTATTATCTGGACATACTGAAGTATATCGTCATGTCAGGAGGACTGCACATACAGATCATTATGTATGTACTTATATATATTGCCAATAACAATGTAATGCAACTCTAGACACAGTATTACCAGTGCCAGTTACATCTGCTGATCATCCACATAGTGTCCAGCACCAGTGGTGAGGCTTAATGAATATATAACATTGCTTATTTACATTCAAACAATTATGCTAACTCGTCTACCAAGACCTGAAATGTTCATTGGTTGACCAAGCCTGTCTCATCTGAATATGCCTCGAATGGTACTTCCTGTTATTGACTTCATGGAATAAGCTGCAGAAGTTAAGTTTACTAATTATTCAGATAGTGTTTTCTATCTTTCAAGTATAGAGCTACTCACATTAAGTTGATGTCACATATTAGACTTAGGATTGTCACTCACATGAATTTGATGACACATGAATTTCATGATTTACAGATTGTTGCTTGACAGATATGACAGCTTAGTTGAAGCCATCTGTCTTGACAGCCTTTCCTTTCTTTAAGCACAAGCCAGTATGTTTAATCAATGCTGGGTGTTCTTTGTAATGTATCTCCCGTCCTGTCAAGTGCCCAGATTGTTTGAGGCTGCTCACAGATGCTGACCATGAGGATACTATACAAATAATTACTCTTGACGAGGTCAAAATGCAAAAACAACGACACGAGGACCCGACCCCTGAGGTCCAGCCAGACTGCCAAAGGGGTCATGTCCTCTGGTCCTTGTTTTCACATATTGACCTCATCAAGAGTAATCATTAGTTTTGTTAAACCGATATTCACTATAATGTTTTCATATGTCCTGTTTCATTACTGTAACTTAACTGCATACCATAAAATGTTGGTACCAGATAACGTCTTGTTTTCTAGCAGACAGGTCAATACTGATCATGTAATGAGTCGATATGCGAGGTCAGTGTGGATTTTGGTGTCTACATTGAAATGTATTGTTTTGTCACTTGGTATGGATTAACCAATGGAATTGCAAGATTCTTAATAGAGTTATAAAAAAATAATTTGACTTATCACAGTGAAATATTTACTAGTTGGTATGATTAAGGCATGGGCATGTTTCCTGTCAAATCGGTGGGCATGTTGCCTGTCATGTCGGTGGGCATGTTCCATGTCATGTCAGTGGGCATGTTCCCTGTCATATCGATGGACATGTTCCATGTCATGTGGGTGGGCATGTTCCCTGTCATGTCGGTGGGCATGTTCCTTGTCATGTCAGTGGGCATGTTCCCTGTCATATCGATGGACATGTTCCATGTCATGTTGGTGGGCATGTTGCCTGTCATGTGGGTGGGCATGTTCCTTGTCATGTCGGTGGGCATGTTCGATGTCATGTCGGCTGGCATGTTCCATGTCATGTGGGTGGGCATGTTCCCTGACATGTGGGTGGGCATGTTCCATGTCATGTCGGTGGGCCTGTTCCATGTCATGTAGGTGGGCATGTTCCATGTCATGTCGATGGGCATGTTCAATGTCATGTCGGTGGGCCTGTTCCCTGTCATGTGGGTGGACATGTTCCATGGCATTTGGGTGGGCATGTCCCATGTCATGTTGGTGGACATGTGCCATGTCATGTTGGCTGGCATGTTCCATGTCATGTCAGTGGGCATGTTCCATGTCATGTCGGTGGGCATGTTCCATGTCAGTGGTTGTGTTTCAGGGACATATTCTTCTCTCTGTGTCCAGCCTCAAACGTCTGATGGTTCCCATTTTGCATAAGAAGTGTACAGTTTATTTTGTGATTGTTTTGCGTACGCCGAGTAAGGTGATGGATATGATGATGTGTGTCCTGTATGTTGTCTGGGGAATAGAGGGTGCAACATATCCAAATGAAATAACATTAGTATATTTTTGAGTTCCTGTTTTAAGTTGCTAGTGATAAACAGTCGTATAGTCAAGCCGGTGGGGCTGTTAAGTAGAGGAGCATCAGGTGTGTGGATTCACCAAGGGCAGTGTTGTACACACTCCACGGTTTAATGTTGGTATTATGGATTTGTTTGCCTTCGAAGGAAAGTTTAAACAGACATGTGATTGTTGTAACATTTGTATTGCGCAACATTAGATTATATTAAACTGTACATATGACTTTTTTGGAAATATTCATGGACTAACCTACATTTAAATTCCTCAAACTGACCTAGAATGAAGGAATGTGGTGAACCTGCCCTACAGTGGGATGCTGATAGATGTACAGGGTTTAGATTTGGGTTTGGCAAACTGTATAAGTTATATGTATATATTTTAAAGGCCATTTTGCTGTTTCAGTTTCTAAGGATCACTATTTTTAGAGTAACTGTTTGAGTGTTGGTCTAAGGGCCACCACATTTGCCTTATTTAGTGTGTAGGCGAAACGAGTACACCGTAAGGGCTTGATCAAGTGGTTACAAGTGAGGTTGTTGGTAAAGAAATACTGACATGTTCATCATACTAATTGCCACATGACTTCAGGTGGATGTTTCACTGAGGTTAAGGAAACATGAGACGCCTGAAACTTGTTCAGCAGAAGTGTGAGGCACTTCTCATGAGTATATGTCGTGTCACAACTTGTCAGCCTGCTCAATCACAAAACATTCCGGTCAGTCATCAGTGTATGTCCCCATATACAAGGAGGCTTTATGACTTTTACAAATCTAGCTCAAAATGTATGATATGCCTTACTTTAACATTAATCAGTTTTACCTGTTTTGATCCATGTTAACATTTTTTGACTGAAATGGTCTTCTGTTTGCTGGTTTTTCCGATTGCTGACATGGTGAGCTTTGTTTGTACCCATGTCAGCTTGCAGCATGCTGCACATTGTCACATTGCTAACTCATCCATTCCTGCTCCAATAGTTGTTATTGTAACTGTAAAGGCCACATCCTGAAAAATAGGTCAGTTGCAAAATGAAAGCAGGAATTCTTCTTACAATGAAGAATCTCAAACTGAAATATATATATTATGTGTACAAAAAAGTGATTATTAGGACATGTAGAATGTTGGAAATTGTCATCAAGTCATAACATTTTTCATCGGGTCACATGCTTAGCAGGAAGTCCTGGGCTTGTTGAGCTTCCATGAATAGTGTACAGAGATGAATGTCCTCCGACGAGGAGCAAGAAAGTGGATCTGGAGATCTGATGTAACTAGCACATACATTATCATGGTGTTTGTGCCCTATCAAGCTGACCTTGGCAGGAAATTATTATGTTATATTATCACTGATGAGACACTATGATGACACAGGACTGATACAGAACTGATGAGACACTATGCTGACACAGGACTGATGAGACACCTGACTGATACAGGACTGATGAGACACTATGCTGACACAGGACTGATGAGACACCTGGCTGATACAGGACTGATGAGACACTATGCTGATACAGGACTGAGGAGACACCTGACTGATACAGGACTGATGAGACACCTGGCTGATACAGGACTGATGAGACACCTGACTGATTCAGGGCTGATGAGACACTATGCTGACACAGGACTGATGGGACCCCTGGCTGATACAGGACTGATGAGACACCTGATGGATTTAGGGCTGATGAGACACTGCTGACACAGGACTGATGAGACACCTGACTGATACAGGACTGATGAGACACCTGACTGATTCAGGGCTGATGAGAAACCTGGCTGATACAGGGCTGATGAGACATCTGACTGATACAGGGCTGAGGAGACACCTGACTGATACAGGGCCGATGAGACATCTGACTGATACAGGGCTGAGGAGAAACCTGGCTGATACAGGGCTGATGAGACATCTGACTGATACAGGGCTGAGGAGACCCCTGGCTGATACAGGACTGATGAGACACTATGCTGATACAGAACTGATGAGACACTATGCTGACTCAGGACTGATGAGACACCTGGCTGATACAGGACTGATGAGACACTATGCTGACACAGGACTGATGAGACACTATGCTGACTCAGGACTGAGGAGACACCTGACTGATACAGGACTGATGAGACACCTGGCTGATACAGGACTGATGAGACACCTGATTGATTCAGGGCTGATGAGACACTATGCTGACACAGGACTGATGGGACCCCTGGCTGATACAGGACTGATGAGACACCTGATGGATTTAGGGCTGATGAGACACTGCTGACACAGGACTGATGAGACACCTGACTGATACAGGACTGATGAGACACCTGACTGATTCAGGGCTGATGAGAAACCTGGCTGATACAGGGCTGATGAGACATCTGACTGATACAGGGCTGAGGAGACACCTGACTGATACAGGGCCGATGAGACATCTGACTGATACAGGGCTGAGGAGAAACCTGGCTGATACAGGGCTGATGAGACATCTGACTGATACAGGGCTGATGTGACACTGCTGATACAGGGCTGATCAGACACCTGACTGATACAGGACTGATGAGACACCTGACTGATACATGGCTCATGAGACACAATGCAGATATAGTTCTGAGACGGTGGACTGTTACAGGACTGATCAAACCGACACAGCTACACTTGAGATAACCTAACCTGACATTGTTGTAATCTATGCACTATAAAATTATATCATTTTGGGACATTGTTAGCAACTTATTATACATATACCATGCAGTGTATTCTTGCCAGATCAAAATTTCACTGACATTGACAATTTATTAGCATAATGATACAGTATATTATGAGTATTTGTCATTTCTTTAAGACCAGGTGTTTTCCAAAATGTCTTTATGAAACTGCATTTTCTTTGCATGATTGAGCAATGTTTTTTTATATTTAGACAGTGATGGGAAAGTGTTTTCATGTTTTAGAAATAATTGGACTTAATGCACATTCAAGGTACCTTTGACATATTTTAGAATTTCAGGTGTCAAGTTGTGAGGTCACCTAGTGCCCCAAAATACACTAAAGGAGGAATATTTGTTTGCTCATTTTGTCATTTACAACATGATTTCTAAATTTCTACATTCCACGTGTGTAATACCTGATCTGAAACCTGCTCATGGCAAACCTTCTGTACTGCTGGTGGTGCCATATGTTGGAAGCCACCACGACAGAGGGAGACCAAGACATGAAATTTTAGGCATGTCTTTGTGCAAGTGGAAATCATTCATGAAGCTATTGGAAATATTTTGATGAAAGTGTATGAGCTTTTATGATGCTTGTTAATAAAATGTTAATTGAATGTATGCATCATTGTCTGTGGTTACTTCTGCACGTGGGAGATAGTCAGGGAGTAGTCAGTGCTTGCTTCTGCACATGGCAAATAGTCAGGGAATAGTTAGTGCTTGCTTCTTCAGATGGTAGATAGTCAGGGAGTAGTCAGTGCATGCTTCTGCACATGGCAGATAGTCAGGGAGTAGTCAGTGCTTGCTTCTGCACATGGCAGATAGTCAGGGAGTAGTTAGTGCTTGCTTCTTCAGATGGCAGATAGTCAGGGAGTAGTCAGTGCATGCTTCTGCACATGGCAGATAGTCAGGGAGTAGTCAGTGCTTGCTTCTGCACATGGCAGATAGTCAGGGAGTAGTAAGTGCTTCTTCAGGTGGTAGATAGTCAGGGAGTGGTCAGTGCATGCTTCTGCACATGGCAGATAGTCAGGGAGTTGTCAGTGCTTGCTTCTGCACATGGCAGATAGTCGGGGAGTAGTCTGTTGGTGCTTCTGCATCTGGCAGATAGTCGGGGAGTGTTATGGTTTATAGATTGTTAATCAGACACAGTACATGTGTCTGAAGGTTAGAAACGGAGGATTATTTTGTGAAAGCAAGTGCATTCAAAAGTCCTGCAACTTGCTGTGCCAAATGGCGCCCCTTGGCTGTGCCGGGAAGCACTGATTGTGGGTTCCTATTCCAGACCCACCCTTTTATGAGGAATGGTTTGTCAGACCGTTATAAGTTTCGTGAGTTTCATTAGGCACCAACATATTAGAATCCGGTATCCTGTAGTACAACTTTCATACAGCTCACAACTCGATTTTTAACGTTTATGACAAATCTATTTATTTACTATAGAGACTGATCATATCCTTTTGTACAAGTGGTTTGTAGAAGGTTACTGTAACAATGAGAAATTCTGACTGACTATTCAAGGACTGCATGACACATGTCCATATATGCAACTGGAAATTGATTAAGAACCACCCATATTTTCATGAATGCGGTCAAGGGCAAAATAAGTTCGGGGGAACTTACCAGAGTGAAGAAAACAAGGGCTTGAAATGGAACAATGACATTGATTCTGAAATGTTAGCATTTTGCAGAAAGACGTTAATATTCACCAAAAACAAAGTGGAAATTACTTTTGTGACACAATAAATACTGAACTGCTTCAAAACTGTATCAACGGAATCCTAGACCATGTTAGATACAAGAACCACAGTTCTCGTCAATACTTGGTGAAACCACCCGGCACCAGAACGACAGCCTCCTCATTCCATGTATCAGACCTTGGACTTGACGTTGAGGTCTACTAGTTCATTCCGCATACAAAGCAGGAACAAGTTCACATAAATTTTGGATTTGACGACCTTAAATGTCCCACAGATGTTCCATTGGATTAACATCTAGACTCCTTGGAAGGATTAAGATCTATCCAAGGAAGTGTCTCCGTGGCATTCTGACGTAGGCATTCCAGAACAGCAAGTGATCTGTGATTATTATCATCATTATTATCATTATGTGAGCATTGTCATCCATGAAGACAAGTCTAGTGGCCAACGCATGATTGTCAAAATGTGAGGTAACTGCCGTCTCGTGGATGGCATGCTGTCCGTCGAGGTCCTTTCAGATTACCCTGCACAGTGATGAATGAAACACATCCCCATACCATTACCGATCTCCACCAAATGGATGGGTTTCCAGAATGTTGTGGGCAGCTATGGCTGTATTTGCCTGCCTCCACACACGTGTACGGCCGTCTCCCATGTTCAACAGAAATCGACTTTCATCAGAAAAATGGACTGTCCGCCATGATGCAATAAGCCAGTTCAGACCTTGATTAGACCAAACAAAGGAGCCGGTTTATGGGCCTGAGTCAACAGTTTGATTGGTCTTCTGGCCTTGTATCGAGCTGTTATCAAACGAGTTCCGATGGTTATAGTTGATATCGCTCTGCCTGGTTGCCACTGTGCCTTTTATAACTCTACTCTTGTCAAATGGACGTCGTCTAACGAGCCTTTATAATATACTGAACCACAAAAGAAATGTCATCATGGATAGATATATGAGAAACCTTATTTGTCCAAACACTGTTAACATATTTTGAGACATAATGAAAAGATGAAACTTGGCAAAACTGATCATCAAGGTTGAAATTAAAGTGTCAAATTTTCTCAAAGTGAAACACAACACTAACCTCTGAGAACATGGCATCACAAGTCAGTATCTCGTGTGTCCGCCGTGTGCATTGATTACTGCCGTGCAACGTCGATATATGGAATGGATGAGGCGGTTGATGAAGGCCATAAGCACTTGAACCCCACACTCTGAAGAACGCCCTACGCAGTTCAGCTGCAGTTGTCGGCCTTGGTCGGACGTCATTCAGCCGTCTTTGAATCTCGTCCAACAGATGCTCAATGTGATTTAAATCGGGACTGAGGACAGGCCACTGCATGGTTCTGATGCCATTCTGCTGGAGGAAGTCTCCTGTTGCTCTCGCAGTGTGGGCACGGGCGTTAACATGCTGAAACTCGTGGTTGCGGCGACGTGCCAAATGGGGTATGGCGTATGGTCTCAAGACTTGAACAATGTACCGAGCTGCTGTGACACCATTGCCTCTCCCGTAACCGATGTTCTGGAAGACAACAGGGCCGACCCTCTGTGCAAGAGCAATTCCACCCTACACGATGATGCTCGGACCACCCCACGAGTCTCTCTCAACAACACAAGCATCCGAATAACGTTCCCCACGGCGTCGCCAGACTCTCTCTCTCTCCCTCTGCCACCTGCTGTCGAGATACAGTAACGGCTCTCGTCTGTGAAGAGGACTCTTCTCCACTGCTGGTGGCGCCAATGTTGGTGCTGTGTTGCCCACTGAAGACGGTCGCGGCGATGACGTGGTGTCGGTGTGGCCTGTGACAGTGGAGGTGTTTGCTCGTCAATCGATGACGCGCGGTGTCCGCACTAATGCGTCGCTGGTGTGTCCCCATGGTCTGTCAAGCAGTTTCCGCAGCAGTAACAAAGCGATCTTAAACATGCTGTCGCACAATCTGATGATCCTGACGTCGGGTGGTGACCCTTGGTCTTCCAATACGTGGTCGGTCATCTGTAGTGTTGGTGGTCTGGTACCGTTGCTGGAGCCTGTATATGGTCCTTACGTTGACTTGGAATGCATTGTCTACTTGCCGGGCGGTTTGTCCAGTTTGCAACCTTCGAAGGGCTTGGTGTCGCTGATTTCTTGTCAATCTTGGCATGTGGTAGCAATTCAATAACAAATGAATGTTATCCGATCTGGGTGGAATTTTACAGGGCAAGAAATGGAGGAACGCATGTGCATTTCAATTTGCACGGAACTCACGTGCATCGGGTTACCATGGCCGTTGCCGTGATGCATTTGGGCGATCGGTTTTATTGTTATCTGCTTTGTTTTTTTATCATCAAATTTCATTTTCCCGGACAAGGTTATGTTAAATATTTCCCAGATATTTAAGTGATAACTTTTCATGCAATGTTACTTTGGGTGACTTTTTTTTGCGGTTCAATATACTATATCTTCTCTCCTGGGTGTCTTGCGAGGCTGACCTGGGCATGGTCTGTCTTTAAGTTCATTTGTTGTTCTTAAAATTACAGTATGGTGACGTCTAATTTCCCTACAAGACATTGCAGTAATTTGCTATCTTAACGCTTTAGACAGTCTACGACGTGCCATGATAATGTTTTGTAATGAGCATGCAGCTGTGTTGAGAAATGTGTACCTGCAAGGTTCACGACCATTATGTGTTTTTAGGTATTTCATGGTTACAGTGCTTCACGTGCAGTATGTGCAACATCAATAAGGTTGACATTGTATTGGCAATGGTATGGGGTGGGAAATAGGTCATACTATCTAATATATTGATACAGCCGACTCATTTTCAAAACTTATCATTCTGTGTCATTTGAAATTGACATCCTCATCCAAATTACCATTGAGGCTTCAACTGAAATATCATTCCGCATGTCATGACTCCACGTGACGTCCCATATCGTGCGTGTGTCCATATATGCAGTCATAGACATAACTGGAACAGTATTTGCATGGCCAACTTGCGTAGTACGTGTGTTCCATACAAGTGTAATTCCCCAAACGCTGAACCCTCACGCATGACCAGAAGCGGGTGTGCGACATGTCCCGGGGGACGGCAGCAGCTTCTGATGGTCATCCAGTCAACTCACGTCAGTCTCTCAGTTCACGCGTATAAATGTGTTGTAGGAAGTGATCTCAAGACACCTGGTTAATAGTATAAGCGTCCAGACCAAGTGTTCCAGCGCGGGGAATCAGTCGCCCGATACACTGCCATGGCTATTGTCACCCATCTGAAGGCCAGCTGGAGAACTCTGGTTGTTGTCGCAACCCCACTAGTTCTATCTCCACTCATCTTCCCTGGGACGACTTCGGTAAGTTCATTGTGTGTTTGTGTGTATATATATAAACAGAGTCCAGATAAAACTCCTTTATACACACAAGATATTTTGCCATTCAACTGATCGACGGGTGTAATGAAAACTTTAACTTACATTGTAGTCCAAGGCGACACATAACAGTAGTATTTGTGGCGTCATAATGCCTATGATGTAACAGTGACAATAGAGGGAGAAGTAAAACGTAGTCCTAGGCGGCAGCCAACTTTATGCTTTTGACGTCATGAAGCATATGACGTCATAGCTATTGATAATAGTGGGAGGCATGAATACATTATGGTGTGAGTGCACAAATACATATTGAGCTACATGGGGAAGTTTTGAAAATTATACTTTTGAATTAAGTTTAGGTTTCAAAAGCCCAATGAACATCTGTTCTTTTTCCATTCATAAATATTTGTCATTAAAGACTTATCATTTAGACCTATTGTTGGAGGCCCCAATGGTCCTACTTTGAGCAACTTAACAGATATATTTCTGAAATCTCTCTTAATCTCCTTACGAGTGAAGCTTTACAAAATTTTAACAAGTTTTCCACTATAGCTGAATCATAATCATTCATTAAATTAACAAAACGTTTGGATCTGCATTTGCTTAAATATCTCAAATCATTAAAATATGGGCATTTCATTTTTATGTGGAATTCATCTTCTAACTCATTTAAATTACAATTCTGACAGATTCCTTTACATTTTTAAACATTTTTCCAACATCTTCCAACATTTATGTAGATTTTTGCACCTCATGTTCTTAAAAGAGCTAAGTATCTTCTATGCATTAAATAATTTATGGAATACACATACGGTTCAGCATTTAATGAAAATTTGTATTTACTGTAACTATCGAATCTTGTACTTTCTCTAGCTAAATGTTGCTTGCCACACTTGGAAAGAAAAATCTCTTAATCTAAGTTTAATCATACTTATTAAATAATCAATATTACCAACACCTTGAGAGAACCAGACTTCTCCAAGACCTATCAAACATAAAGATTCTCTAACATTTGTTACCCAATTTCTCCCTGTCACATTCATCTAAGTGTGATAACATATTTTATCATTTAACTAAAGCATTTATCCATGACATAAGCTTATGACATAAAAACATGTATGTCATACCCCAATGACATAAGTATGCAAATTAGATATGCAAATTAGATAACCGGAAGTGGGACTTTTTTCGCCGGTGCACGTGAGTAGGTGTTTACAAACAACATGGATACCTTTGATGTTGGAGACATTATTTCAATTATTCTGCAAAAGTCTGTTCAAGTATTTTGTTTAAAATAATCCGAGGAACTTTTTTTCTCAGCGAAGGAATATGCCATAAAGGAGTTAAGAGGTTGTTAATTTTGGTTTACACGGCTATGGAGAACATGTATCACTACGCACTATCTATACGTAAGATTTCGACAAGTTGCTGATGTTAATGTTTAATGCAATTATTCCTTAATTGGGAAGCAAAAATGTGAAAATGATAAATAGAATTCATCACTCGTGTTTTTTAATATGGGAAATATCAACCTCGCCCCGTTAATCGGTATTTGCCTCGCCAAAGGCTCGGCAAATACCGATTAACTAAGACTCGGTTGATATTTCCCATATTAAAAAACACTCGTGATGAATCCTCTATATACGACTGTTTTGGTATTCTATCATCTGACGTGTATTAATCTAAGCCAACATTTTTTACATTGCACAAATGAATCAACATATAAGGGGTATCTGCTACATTCTCCCATAGCCATAGCATTTGGAGTTTGTGACGGTAAACCAAGAAATCGTTTACATGCATAATTCTGAATTTTATCAAGTGGATCAAATGTATTGGTGCCCCAAATATTTGCACCGTATAATAAAATAGGCTTATTCTTTACATCAAATATTTTAAAGAATATATCATAAGACAAGCACCCAAGTTCATATAATTATCTTAAAATTTCATAAAGTGCTAGTTTACCTTTTTGACATGTGTATTTCACTGTTTTTATCATATTTATATTAGAGTAAAACATAACACCCAAATATTCATAGTGTTTAACTGTTTCGTCATTTTGGTTATTAAAAGTCAATCGTTCGTTTTCAAATTTCAAAATTCGATTATTCTAAATAACACTATTTTTGTTTTGTCTAAATTAACTGTCCATTTCCATTTGTTACAATACTTATTGAGAGTATTTAGTTGGTTTTGTAAACCTGAATCGTATCTGAAAACGATACAATATCATTTGCAAATAAAAGTATTAACAATTCTTTATATTCAGGAAAAAGCTGTACACCTCTAATGTTTTCATTGTCTAAAGTATGAACGAGTTCGTTTATATACAGGGAAAATAATAAAGGGCTTAAAACACACCCTTGTTTTAAACCTATATGAGATTTAAATATACCTGAAAATCTACGGAATCAAACGCTTTCTTTAAAATCTAGCAAAGCGACGTAGAATCTACCTTTACGTTTAGACAAATGCTTGTCGATTAGAGCCTTCAAATATTAAACCTCCGCCAATATTATCAGAAGTCAAGTAACCTTCGCGAAAGCCAGCTTGTTCCTCCGATATTTTCTTAAAACTATTTGCCGAAATTGTTAATCTATTATTATTGATTCATTAAAGTGATGCCCCTATAGTTATCTGGCTTTGTTTTGTCATTGTGACAGCATTAAACTTTCCATGAGACAGCTTTGCAACAAACTCTCCATCTTCAAATCCTGCCACCACCTCTGGTGGTAGCCTGTTCATCATCAGCAGTGAGGCTGGCAAGTAGCGGGAGTAGTTCGTACGGTTGGTTGCAAACAAGAGGGGCAAGATCTCAGCTTTTATATCCTGGTTCTCGAGACAAAGTCCATTCCTTGTTGTGCTCAAAAAGACCTTCAATGGAAGCATCACTTTCACCAAGAAGTCATCCCAGGGTTTGAAAGTTGGTGATGTGGACCTGTCGTGGTCTCGAAGAGCTGAATGAGTGTAGATAGCCTGGTTGTGATGATGGCTGTGATCTATGTGATGACATCAGCCATCGGTTCTTGATAACAAGTGCTCGATGGAAATCTTTTCTCGATAATATGTGTTCTACGCTGCCTTCGTGTATAAGCTGTTTCAAGCCAGCATCCCAATACAGGTAACCAATTGCTGAAAAGACTGACATCAATAGGTGCATCCCGCCTTCACATGGTATGACACCTCTTATGTCATCTGGTTTGGACCAAGCTATTTCATAGGCCTTGGTGAGCAGTCCCATATCAAAGTACACTGGTATGTAGTGCTGACCTAGGGAATTGATGGCTTCCTTTGTTCTCCTAGGTGTTGTGTACACAGTGAATAGATCAGTTGGTGGTTATTGGGACAGTGTTGAATGCCATAGTTAAAACTACAGGTGAGCTCTCTGCCTGCATTCAAACTTGGAACAGACCCCAAGAAGGAAAAGTATTTTGTGGCTTCTTTGCTAAAGACACTTTGAGCCTATTACAACGTAAATTGTAATAAAAAGGTAAATTGTAATACTTGCGGCAACTTGTAATAATTTTGACGTAAATTGTAATAACAACGTAAATTGTAATAATATTTGACGTAAATTGTAATACGCAAATTGTAATAAAAATTGACGTAAATTGTAATAATCTCTACTTGCGGTAAAATGTAATAAATTCTTACGTAAATTGTAATAACCTTACTACCGTAGTGTCCAAGACGCCAATTGACTAGAAATGATCTTTGTCAGTTGAGCTTGCGTTTCACATGTACAATTCGAAAAATTCTGTGTATGATGACAAACGTACAAAACTGTTAAGTTAGGGATGGTTGGTATAGGCTTTATCGTACAATCGTCATTAAAGGGTGGTGTCAACATCGATAAATTTAAATGACTGAAAGATCCATCCCCGGGTTCAAAATGATGGGTTACACAACCGTATTTTCGACAAATAACTTAATTGGGACATATTGTTCCATACTCTTATAAGGCTATTCAAGATGTTTTTTGCATGACTTGCTTCAACAGTACGTTCACCAGTTCGACACGACTGAACGAGTGATGACGAAGGGTACAAACACAGGCTGGTCAACCAGTGTGTCGATTTGCTGTGGAAACGCTATACGAGTTGATAAGGAGTACATGATCCTTTTCTTGAAACAAACGAGGGAATTTAATCATATTTATACAATTCATTTTATTTTGACGAAGAATTCAAATACTACAAATGAGTTGACAGATCCCGTGCATACACAAATAACATCCGGTATCTTCGGATAACTCTTGTACAGTTTCAAAGAGTAGACGAATTATTATAAGTTTCTTGCAATCAATTGCTGAAATATATCTGCTTGTATCCAAATAGAAAGGAATTGAAAATTTATAATGAAAATATGTTTGTCACTAAAGTAAATTTTCTCTTTGACCTTGAAACGTACTTGAAGATCATTAAACTCGACAATCGTTGGTGGATTGCGCCAAGAAACCTTGATACTAATTATATACGTACAATAATCCCCTGAAAACATAACCTCCTCTGAAAGATTAAGAGGATTAAAGTAATTTGGGCTAACATCAAGCACTGCAATAACATACTCTCTTAAAATTCCAATGAAATGACTGGTGACTTACCAAAAAGTCAAATTATATAACTAGTTCTAATTGCCTACCCATATCACTTTTTTTCTGAAATTGAGTTAAAACTTCTAAATTTGAGACTGCAATATATGTCTTCAGAGGGTATTTCATACACTGTAACAACTGTTTAACCCCCTTTCAAATTTGGTTTCATGCTGAATCGCTCTTTTCAACTACTGCTAACACACTTTAAATGCAAGGAAAGCATCCCAAACATATATTTTTATATATAAATACATTGTGTTGATAACCACGTACTTAACCTAAAGAAAAAACACTCAAGTGAGTTTATATATACTCTTCAAAAAAAGAAACTTGACACTGACTTTCCAAATGTTATATAAAGCGATTGTTTCAAAATAGGACACAGAAACCATAATTGAAACACTGTTTGAAGATCAATGTACACAATGTTCAAAATATTAATCGTGTCACCTAGACAGACACACGTACACGATACAGTTAATGTCACATGGGTACAGAAAATGTCAGTATCGGTTGTTCCCACCACGTGCATCAATCACCGCTTGACACCGACGACCAATAGATGCAATCAAGTTGTCAATAACACGCTGTTGGATGTGCTGCCATTCATGCTGAAGTGCATCAAGAAGCGCCGGAAGTGTTTGGGGCGGTGGATTCCTTCTGCGAACGCGTCGATCCAATTCGTCCCACAGATGCTCAATCGAGGACAAATCTGGTGACAGGGCTGGTCAAGGTAATGTCTGGATGTTGTTGTGCTGTAAGATGTCCTGACAAACACGTGCAATATGCGGTCGAGCGTTGTCCTGCTGGAACTGTCCGCCATGAACGTTGACGTGAGGAAGAACGTAAGGCTGTAGGATCAAGAATCTGTAACGCACACCTGTCAATGCACCTGCCACGTGCACGAGAGGCGTCCTACCACCGTGATGAATTCCGGCCCATACCATGACACTCCCGCCGCCAAATGGGACAATCTGCTGCACACAGTTGGGGGCGTAACGTTCACCCCGACGTCTGTAGACACATGCGCGCCCATCAGCGCGTGTGAGTAGGAAACGGGACTCGTCAGTAAACAGTACATTTCTCCACCTTGCACGTGCCCATCTAACCCTCTGTTGGCACCAAAGCAGACGGTCCGCCAGATGACCTGGGGTCAATACATGACGTCGAACAGGTCTTCATGCAAAAGGTCCAGCCTCCCTCAGTCTGTTGCGTACCGTTTGATCTGATATTCTGCGTACCCCAGGAATCTGTGTGGTTGTAGACGTGGCTGTGGTAGTGCGGTCTCGGAGGTGTCACAGCTGGATGTATCGATCTTGTGCTTGGGTTGTCACCCTTGGTCTTCCTGACCTTGGTCTGTCGTCAACTCTGTTAGTGTTGTTGTATCGGGTCCACAGTGCAGAGATTGTCTGTCTGGATACGCCAAAGTGCCTGGCCACTTCTTGCTGAGTTGCTCCAGCTTGTAATCTCCGAATGGCATTGTTCCGTTGAGCTGCAGTTAGCCTTGGCATTCTGTCACCGCCTCTACTGCTGTTATAAGGACTCGTCTGTATGAACAGCCGTTGTGGATTTTTATACCAATTCAGCAGGGGGGCCTACATGCCTAAATGCAGGATCCTGTGCTGCACGTTTTTACAGGCGGTTGCGTTTGGATGAAGCTGTAAAATTGATCCCCAAACGCTACGTATATGTGCTTTGCATGTGTTTTCGCGAATTATAGACACATCATCTTTCTGTTTGACTTATTTGGTTCTCATTTAATGTAATTATTTTAGATATTTGGCAAAAAGTGGTTTTACATCTATGTCAAGTTTCTGTTTTTGAAGAGCATATATACAAAAATGTTCGATATATCAAGTTTCAAAAAGTTCTATCACCCCACACTAAGTCATATTTAATGACGATTGTACGATAAATGCTGTACCCAACTTCCCTAAACAGTTTTGTACCTTTGTATATATATATGTAATCCAACTGTTCGGAGTATAGTTAAACATTATATATATCGAGCTATATTCGTACCGAAAAATTATATATATCGAGCTATATTCGTACCGAAAAATTATATGTATAATTTCTCGGTACGAATATAGCTCCAGATACTTTTGTCATGCAGTGAGAAAACATGCATGTTTGACACACACAGTTATTATATTTGTGAACAGTAATCCTTATACAACTATTGATATGTAAAGGGACCTTGAAAAGTAATGATACCAATGATATAGAGCTCACATTTACTGTCATTACATACATACATACATACATACATACATACATACATACATACATACATACATACATACATACATACATACATACATACATACATATGTGTTTGTGTGTGTGTGTGTATGTGTGAATGTATGTGTGTGTATGTGCGTGTGCGAGCGTGTGCGTAGTGTCACTCATCTTTCACTTGGAACTATATGTAGAAGTGCAGTCATAGATATGATACCAATGACATATAGAGGTCGTATTTACTGGCATACATACATACACACACACACACGCACGGACGCACGCACGCACGCACGCACGCACGCACGCACGCGCGCGCGCACACACACACACACACAAACACATACATACATACACACACACACACACACACACACACACACACACACACACATACATACATACATACATGCATAAACACACACAAACACACATACATACATATCTATGTGTGTATGTGTTTGTATGTATGTGTGTGTATGATAGATAGATCATCTTTATTTCCTCCAGTTGATGAAGATACATTGATATGAGATATAAATGTATATATATAACAGCTGATATATTGTATGTACAGACAGTTTCACATCGTTATCAAATAATGTTTCTTAGTAGGTTTTTCCACATTTTAACAGTTTTACATACACGAAGCATGATATTTGCCCATAGATTGTAATTCAATTGCCATAGTACTTTCTGTTGGCAAACCGCCAAGTAAAAAGGACAGAAAGGTATCGTCATCATCGTTCCAGATACTAGAAAAAGTTGTCACATCTAGTAAATCAATAATAGACTCAACAAGAATATTTCTTTGTTGTTGAGTCTTTTTACAATACATAAACACATGTTTGATAATATCAAAAGCAAATGTGCCGCATAAACATTCATCAGATTGTATACTGTAGGTGCTAAGGCATAATAAATATGCTAAATCATAGAAGTGTTCCGGCCTTTCAGTTGTTAGTAACCAAAGTCTGTGTACCTTAGGTGGTCGTATAAGAGAGTATCGTTTTAGGTTTTCTCTTGAATGAATCTCTGCATGAATTATGTTATGGTCACATACGCTTATTTGTTCTTTAACTCGACTCGCCCATGCATGTTTTGAGGGGAAATGAGAATAAATGGTATATGTGTTTATGTCATTATTGAGTTCATACCTGTTTACAAGTGAAAGCATGTGGTACACGGGTGACATTTTACATTTATCATCTTTTTCTTTAATTGTATCGAGTTCAAACTGAACAAGTCTGTGCTGAAATAGTCTTTTAAATGCAAAGTTAATGTCACTATTACATAGTCTTCCCAGAAATAAGAGAGCTCGTTGATCAATGTACGCCTGGAGAGAAATTAAACCCAGACAATCTCTGGTGACGACGGAAGGAGTGCGTCTAGACAGTCCTTGAATCTTTTTACAAAAATAACGTTGAATAATTTCAAGCATTTCGTATTCCTTCGGTGACAGTTTACCCCATACACTACAAGCAAATAGTCCACATGGTAAAATAGGATTTAAGCCACCAAAGTATAGTCCATGATTATAATTTATATTGACTAACATTCTGAGTTTTTCACATATTAGATGGGTACGTTCTAAGGTTTTCTTTGATGTACTTAGAAGCAATCCAGCATAAGTTACATTTTCCTTTTTAGGAAGTACTTGTGAACCAATGTAGACACATTGAGAGACAGATTTGCGAATATTCCCAAACAGTAGAAATGCACTTTTACTGGCATTATATTTCAAATGCCATCTATTAGCATAGGTGTATATATTATTCAGTAGACATTGCAGTCCGTCAGAGGAGCTGCTCAACAGCGTAGTATTGTCTGCTAATAGGATGCCGGGTGTATTACCCCATGGAAGGCACAAGCCACGCCCTAAATCATCAAGTGAATACAGCAAGTCGTTAATATATAGAGTAAAAAAACATGCCGATAAAACGCGACCTTGACCAACACCTTGCTTAACATGAAACACATTTGAGGTAAAACCTCCAATGCTTACACATGACTGCTTTTCTCCTGTATGCACTAGTATTAGAGACAGGTATATGCAGTTGTACATTTACATAATTCGGTTTCATAACGAGGTTCTTACGCATAGGAATATAAAAACAAAATAACCTCTGGTAAAAGTGAATCTCGGCCGTGCTGTCTCAGAGGGTCATCAGCACGCATTATACCTCGCTTAATTCTATACATCAGTGTCATCTACCTCCGATATCCGAAAGGACATCTACCTTAAACATTAACAGTCAACAAACTATCCAGTATATTTCTTTGGTATGTATTTCGTTTCTAGGTGTCCAAGTGTGGCTTTTCTCTGGTACTGATGGGCGTGTTCTGGTTGACGGAGGCACTTCCTCTGCCGGTCACGGCTCTTCTTCCGGTTCTACTTTTTCCACTGTTGGGCATAGTTCCTTCTAAAGACGTGTCACGGTTTTACATGACGGTATATTTGATGTATTTGTATGAACTAAATCAAAATGTCTTTCTATGAACGTCGTAATCCTGGCAAAGTTATCCCTTAAACCTTTTTCTACATGTGTAAAAGTAATGTCATGGTAAGTCAAATGATATGAATCCTCGTGGCAGTGAGTAAGACAAAGATTCACCTAATTCAAGATGATGTTTACAGGATATAAACGTTCTGCTAATGGGAGGTTTGTGTGTTGCCATGGCTATAGAAGAATGCAACCTGCACAAGCGCTTTGCCTTGAGATTGTTATTGTTCCTCGGAGTACAACCACGACGGTAGGTTTTACATTGTAGAGACTGTCATATAACCTGCTGTCATTAACACTTGTTGTCATATAACTTGCTGTCATTAACACCTGTCATATAACTTGCTGTCATTAACACTTGTCATATAACTTGCTGTCATTAACACTTGTCATATAACTTGCTGTCATTAACACTTGTCATATAACTTGCTGTCATTAACACTTGTCATATAACTTGCTGTCATTAACACTTGTCATATAACTTGCTGTCATTAACACTTGTCATATAACTTGCTGTCATTAACACTTGTCATATAACTTGCTGTCATTAACACTTGTCATATAACCTGCTGTCATTAACACTTGTTGTCATATAACCTGCTGTCATTAACACTTGTCATATAACTTGCTGTCATTAACACTTGTTGTCATATAACCTGCTGTCATTAACACTTGTCATATAACCTGCTGTCATTAACACTTGTTGTTGTACAAACTTGCTGTCATTAACACTTGTCATATAACTTGCTGTCATTAACACTTGTTGTCATGCAAACATGCTGTCATTAACACTTGTCATATAACTTGCTGTCATTAACACTTGTTGTCATGCAAACATGCTGTCATTAACACTTGTTGTCATGCAAACATACTGTCATTAACACTTGTTGTCATATAACTTGCTGTCATTAACACTTGTTGTCATGCAAACATGCTGTCATTAACACTTGTCATACAAACTTACTGTCATTAACACTTGTCATACAAACTTACTGTCATTAACACTTGTCATGCAAACTTGCTGTCATTAACACTTGTTGTCATGCAAACATGCTGTCATTAACACTTGTCATACAAACTTACTGTCATTAACACTTGTTGTTGTACAAGCTTGCTGTCATTAACACTTGTCATACAAACTTGCTGTCATTAACACTTGTTGTCATGCAAACATGCTGTCATTAACACTTGTCATACAAACTTGCTGTCATTAACACTTGTTGTCATGCAAACATGCTGTCATTAACACTTGTCATACAAACTTGCTGTCATTAACACTTGTTGTCATGCAAACATGCTGTCATTAACACTTGTCATACAAACTTACTGTCATTAACACTTGTTGTTGTACAAGCTTGCTGTCATTAACACTTGTTGTCATGCAAACATACTGTCATTAACACTTGTCATACAAACTTACTGTCATTAACACTTGTCATACAAACTTACTGTCATTAACACTTGTCATACAAACTTGCTGTCATTAACACTTGTTGTTGTACAAGCTTGCTGTCATTAACACTTGTCATACAAACTTACTGTCATTAACACTTGTCATACAAACTTACTGTCATTAACACTTGTCATGCAAACTTGCTGTCATTAACACTTATTGTCATATAACTTGCTGTCATTAACACTTGTTGTCATATAACTTGCTGTCATTAACACTTGTCATACAAACTTACTGTCATTAACACTTGTCATGCAAACTTGCTGTCATTAACACTTGTCATGCAAACTTACTGTCATTAACACTTGTCATACAAACTTGCTGTCATTAACACTTGTCATACAAACTTACTGTCATTAACACTTGTCATACAAACTTGCTGTCATTAACACTTGTTGTTGTACAAGCTTGCTGTCATTAACACTTGTCATACAAACTTACTGTCATTAACACTTGTCATACAAACTTACTGTCATTAACACTTGTCATACAAACTTGCTGTCATTAACACTTGTTGTTGTACAAGCTTGCTGTCATTAACACTTGTCATACAAACTTACTGTCATTAACACTTGTCATACAAACTTACTGTCATTAACACTTGTCATACAAACTTGCTGTCATTAACACTTGTTGTCATGCAAACATGCTGTCATTAACACTTGTCATACAAACTTACTGTCATTAACACTTGTCATACAAACTTACTGTCATTAACACTTGTCATACAAACTTACTGTCATTAACACTTGTCATGCAAACTTGCTGTCATTAACACTTGTCATGCAAACTTACTGTCATTAACACTTGTCATACAAACTTGCTGTCATTAACACTTGTCATACAAACTTACTGTCATTAACACTTGTCATACAAACTTGCTGTCATTAACACTTGTTGTTGTACAAGCTTGCTGTCATTAACACTTGTCATACAAACTTACTGTCATTAACACTTGTCATACAAACTTACTGTCATTAACACTTGTCATACAAACTTGCTGTCATTAACACTTGTTGTTGTACAAGCTTGCTGTCATTAACACTTGTCATACAAACTTACTGTCATTAACACTTGTCATACAAACTTACTGTCATTAACACTTGTCATACAAACTTGCTGTCATTAACACTTGTTGTCATGCAAACATGCTGTCATTAACACTTGTCATACAAACTTACTGTCATTAACACTTGTCATACAAACTTACTGTCATTAACACTTGTCATGCAAACTTGCTGTCATTAACACTTGTTGTTGTACAAGCTTGCTGTCATTAACACTTGTTGTCATACAACCTTGCTGTCATTAACACTTGTTGTCATGCAAACATACTGTCATTAACACTTATTTCAATACAAACTTACTGTCATTAACACTTGTTATGCAAACCTGCTGTCATTAACACTTATTGTCATACAAACATACTGTCATTAACACTTGTTGTCATACAAACCTGCTGTCATTAACACTTGCTGTCGTACAAGCTTGCTGTCATTAACACTTATTGTCATACAAACTTACTGTCATCAACACTTGTTGTCCTACAAACTTACTGTCATTAACACTTGTTGTCATACAAACCTGCTGTCATTAACACTTGCTGTCGTACAAGCTTGCTGTCATTAACACTTATTGTCATACAAACTTACTGTCATTTACACTTATTGTCATACAAACTTACTGTCATTAACACTTATTGTCATGCAAACATACTGTCATTAACACCTGTTGTCATGCAAACCTGCTGTCATTAACACTTGTTGTCAAACAACATTGCTGTCATTAACACTTGTTGTCATACATCCTTGCTGTCATTAACACTTGTTGTCATACAAACTTACTGTCATTAACACTTATTGTCATACAAACTTACTGTCATGAACACTTGTTGTCATACAAACTTACTGTCATGAACACTTGGTGTCATGCAAACTAACTGTCATGAACACTTGGTGTCATACAAACTTACTGTCATGAACACTTGGTGTCATGCAAACCTGCTGTCATTAACACTTGTCATGCAAACTTGCTGTCGTTAACACTTGTCAGGCAAACTTGCTGTCATTAACACTTGTTGTCATACAATCTTACTGTCATGAACACTTGGTGTCATGCAAACTAACTGTCATGAACACTTGGTGTCATGCAAACTAACTGTCATGAACACTTGGTGTCATGCAAACCTGCTGTCATTAACACTTGTCCTACAAACTAACTGTCGTTAACACTTGTCAGGCAAACTTGCTGTCATGAACACTTGTTGTCATACAAGCTTACTGTCATGAACACTTGGTGTCATGCAAACTAACTGTCATGAACACTTGGTGTCATGCAAACTAACTGTCATTAACACTTGGTGTCATGCAAACATACTGTCATTAACACTTATTGTCATACAAACTTACTGTCATTTACACTTATTGTCATGCAAACATACTGTCATTAACACTTATTGTCATACAAACTTACTGTCATTAACACTTGTTGTCATACAAACCTGCTGTCATTAACACTTGCTGTCGTACAAGCTTGCTGTCATTAACACTTATTGTCATACAAACAAACTGTCATTAACACTTATTGTCATACAAACTTACTGTCATTAACACTTGTTGTCCTACAAACTTACTGTCATTAACACTTGTTGTCATACAAACCTGCTGTCATAAACACTTGCTGTCGTACAAGCTTGCTGTGATTAACACTTATTGTCATACAAACTTACTGTCATTAACACTTATTGTCATACAAACTTACTGTCATTAACACTTATTGTCATGCAAACATACTGTCATTAACACCTGTTGTCATGCAAACCTGCTGTCATTAACACTTGTTGTCAAACAACATTGCTGTCATTAACACTTGTTGTCATACAACCTTGCTGTCATTAACACTTGTTGTCATACAAACTTACTGTCATTAACACTTATTGTCATACAAACTAACTGTCATGAACACTTATTGTCATACAAACTTACTGTCATGAACACTTGGTGTCATGCAAACCTGCTGTCATTAACACTTGTCAGGCAAACTTACTGTCGTTAACACTTGTCAGGCAAACTTCCTGTCATTAACACTTGTTGTCATGCAAACTAACTGTCATGAACAGTTGGTGTCATGCAAACTAACTGTCATGAACACTTGGTGTCATGCAAACCTGCTGTCATTAACACTTGTCATACAAACTTACTGTCGTTAACACTTGTCAGGCAAACTTGCTATCATTAACACTTGTTGTCATACAAACTTACTGTCATGAACACTTGGTGTCATGCAAACTAACTGTCATGAACACTTGGTGTCATGCAAACTAACTGTCATTAACACTTGGTGTCATGCAAACCTGCTGTCATTAACACTTGTCATACAAACTTACTGTCGTTAACACTTGTCAGGCAAACTTACTGTCATTAACACTTATTGTCATACAAACTTACTGTCATGAACACTTGGTGTCATACAAACTTATTGTCATGAACACTTGGTGTCATGCAAACTAACGGTCATTAACACTTATTGTCATACAACCTTGCTGTCATTAACACTTATTGTCATACAAACCTGCTGTCATTAACACTTATTGTCATACAACCTTGCTGTCATTAACACTTGTCATACAAACTTGCTGGCATTAACACTTGTTGTCATAGAAACATACTGTCATTAACACTTATTGTCATACAACCTTGCTGTCATTAATACTTGTTGTCATACAAAGATACTGTCATTAACACTTGTTGTCATACAACCTTGCTGTCATTAACACTTATTGTCATACAAACTTGCTGTCATTAACACATATTGTCATACAAACATACTGTCATTAACACTTGTTGTCATACAAGCTTGCTGTCATTAACACTTGTTGTCATACAAGCTTGCTGTCATTAACACTTGTTGTCCTACAGACGTACTGTCATTAACACTTGTTCTCATACAAACGTACTGTCGTTAACACTTGTCATGCAAACTTGCTGTCATTAACACTTGTTGTCATACAAACATACTGTCATTAACACTTATTGTCATACAACCTTGCTGTCATTAACACTTGTTGTCATACAAAGATACTGTCATTAACACTTGTTGTCATACAACCTTGCTGTCATTAACACTTATTATCATACAAACCTGCTGTCATTAACACTTGTTGTCATACAAACATACTGTCATTAACACTTGTTGTCATACAAGCTTGCTGTCATTAACACTTGGTGTCATACAAGCTTGCTGTCATTTACACTTGTTGTCATACAAACATACTGTCATTAACACTTGTTGTCATACAAGCTGGCTGTCATTAACTCTTGTTGTCATACAAGCTTGCTGTCATTAACACTTGTTGTCCTACAGACGTACTGTCATTAACACTTGTTGTCATACAAACATACTGTCATTAACACTTGTCATACAAACTTACTGTCGTTAACACTTGTCATACACACTTACTGTCATTAACACTTGTCATACAACCTTGCTGTCATTAACACTTGTTGTCCTACAGACGTACTGTCATTAACACTTATTGTTATAGTAATTTACTGTCATTAACACTTGTTGTCATGCAAACTTGCTGTCAATAACACTTGTTGTCATGCAAACCTGCTGTCATTAACACTTGTTGTCATACAAACTTACTGTCGTTAACACTTGTTGTCATACAAACATGCTGTCATTAACACTTGTTGTCATACAAACATGCTGTCATTAACACTTGTTGTCATACAAACATGCTGTTATTAACACTTGTCGTTGTACAAGCTTGCTGTTATTAACACTTGTTGTCCTACAGACGTACACTTACTGTCAATAACACTTGTCATGCAAACTTGCTGTCATTAACACTTCGTGTCATGCAAACCTGCTGTCATTAACACTAGTTGTCCTACAGACTTACTGTCATTAACACTTGTTGTCATAGAAACCTGCTCTCATTAACACTTATTGTCATACAAACTTACTATCATTAACACTTATTGTCATACAAACTTACTGTCATTAACACTTGTTGTCATGCAACCTGCTCTCATTACCACTTATTGTCATACAAACTTACTGTCATTAACACTTGTTGTCATGCAAACCTGCTCTCATTAACACTTATTGTCATACAAACCTGCTCTCATTAACACTTGTTGTCATACAACCTTGCTGTCATTAACACTTGTTGTCCTACAGACGTACTGTCATTAACACTTATTGTCATACAGACGTACTGTCATTAACACTTATTGTCATACAAACTTACTGTCATTAACACTTGTTGTCACGCAAACCTGCTCTCATTAACACTCATTGTCATACAAACTTACTGTCATTAACACTTGTTGTCCTACAGACGTATTGTCATTAACACTTGTTGTCACGCAAACTTACTGTCATTAACACTTGTTGTCATGCAAACCTCCTCTCATTAACACTTGTTGTCATACAACCTTGCTGTCATTAACACTTGTTGTCCTACAGACGTACTGTCATTAACACTTGTTGTCCTACAGACGTACTGTCATTAACACTTGTTGTCCCGCAAACATACTGTCATAAACACTTGTTGTCCCGCAAACATACTGTCATTAACACTTGTTGTCCCGCAAACATACTGTCATTAACACTTGTTGTCCTACAGACGTACTGTCATTAACACTTGTTGTCATACAAACTTACTGTCATTAACACTTGTTGTCACGCAAACCTGCTCTCATTAACACTTGTTGTCATACAAACTTACTGTCATTAACACTTGTTGTCCTAGAGACGTACTGTCATTAACACTTGTTGTCCTACAGACGTACTGTCATTAACACTTGTTGTCATACAAACTTGCTGTCATTAACACTTGTTGTCACGCAAACATAATGTCATTAACACTTGTTGTCACGCAAACATACTGTCATTAACACTTGTTGTCCTACAGACGTACTGTCATTAACACTTGTTGTCACGCAAACTTACTGTCATTAACACTTGTCGTTGTACAAGCTTGCTGTTATTAACACTTGTTGTCCTACAGACGTACTGTCATTAACACTTGTTGTCACGCAAACATACTGTCATTAACACTTGTTGTCCTACAGACTTACTGTCATTAACACTTGTTGTCACGCAAACTTGCTGTCATTTACACTTATTGTCATGCGCACTTGCTGTCATGAACACTTGTCATACAAACTTGATGTCACTAACAGTTGTTGTCATACGCACGTTCTGTTTCTGTGAGTACATCATCAACGGTAGGCATTGGGTTTGTAGAGACACATGACATTCAGACTCACACTATTGTAATGCACACTTATCGTCCTAATAGTTGTTGACTGGAAAACTACTGTTAAGGAAACTACTTGGTAAAAATAATTTTGCTTCTGGTTTAAAAAAAAAGAAAGACTATGTGTATTTACATCCTGAAAAATATAACTGTTCCATTTATCCTTTCAGACTAAACTTTCAGACAGAACGAATGATAGTTGAGATCTGTTGGGATGCGTGTTTGAGAGTTGTTGATGATGCGTGCTTGATACATGTTGATGATGCGTGTTTGATACACGTTGGTAATGCGTGTTTGAGACCTGTTGGGATGCGTGTTTGAGAGTTGTTGATGATGCGTGTTCGATACATGTTGATGATGCGTGATTGAGACCTGTTGATGATGCGTGTTTAAGACCTGTTGGGATGCGCGTTTGAGAGTTGTTGGTGATGCGTGTTTGATACGTGTTGGTAATGCGTGTTTGAGACCTGTTGGTGATGCATGTTTGAGACCTGTTGGGATGCGTGTTTGAAACCTGTTGGTGATGCGTGTTTGATACATGTTGATGATGCGTATTTGATGCATGTTGGTAATGAGTGTTTAAGACCTGTTGAGATGCGTGTTTGAAACCTGTTAGTGATGAGTGTTTGGTACCGTGTTTGACAATTGTTGGTGATGCGTGTTCGATACATGTTGGTGATGTGTGTTTGAGACCTCTTGGTGATGCTTGTTTGATACATTTTTGTGATGCGTGTTTGAGACCTGTTAGTGATGCGTGTTTGAGACCTGTTAGTGATGCGTGTTTGAGACCTGTTAATGATGCGTATTTGTCGTGATTGTGACATGCGTCAACCCCTTGTTACTTATGTGATTCAGGCGTAGTCATGCCTTGTTTCAGACTGATGTTAGGTTTTATGCTGGCCACCGGTGTACTGTCGATGTGGATCAGTAACACGGCGTCCACCGCCATGATGTTACCGGTTGCCCGGGCTCTGTTTGCAAGGCTTATTGTCCTGAAGAGGAGGAGGGAAGCGGGGAAGCAGTCTCGCGAAGGTGACTCAGTCCACCTACTAGTATGATTTCTTATATGCCAAACGTTAGAGAAACATGTCATAAGTAATTTTGTTTTCAATTGTAAGAGGGGCGGAGTGGTAGCCTAGTGGTTAAAGCGTTAAAGCGTTCGCCAGTCACGCCGAAGACCCGGGTTCGATTCCCGACTTGGGTACAATTTGTGGGGCCCATTTCTGTTGTCCCCCGCCGTGATATTGCTGGAATAATGCTAAAAAAAGCGGCGTAAAACCATACTCACTCACTCACTAAATTTTAAGAAAATTCTTTTTTTCAGCGATAATGGTTGACAGCACTGAACATTCTGAATTGATGGTGAAAGAGCTGCCGGAAGACTCGGCATACGTGGAGGAAGACACAAGTCGGTAAGGAGAGGAGCCGATACATTTCCTAGTGTTTCAGACAATGGCACCCTACTCAACAATTCCACGTCTGTTGTTATGTTAATCTAAATACAATGTTCAATCAATACATCGACAACCCCCCCCCCCCCAACAGTGATATTGCGTATGCTTCATACATTCTATGCTGCCAGAGATCCTGCTGTGACGGAGGATGAGGTGGACTTCAACCACCTGGACACGGAGTCTCTGGGCCTTCTGAAAGCCCTATGTCTGTGCGTGTGTTACTCAGCCAACTGTGGGGGAGTAGGGACACTCACCGGGTCGGCCCCGCAGCTGGTGCTGAAGGGACAGATAGACAGGTGAGTACGACACACAATTCCTTGTGTGGGCAATCTGTGGATCACTGATCTTATACACTGTTATTGATCATGTTGCAATAAATCCCTTTTTCATTTAACAACGGAGGTCATTGGCCAGGATATAAAACTTTGCATCAAGGCTTCCAATCTTTATCAAAATGGCTGATTGTACGTTGCATTGCTTTGTAAAGTGTCCATATGCCTTTTGAGTACCGCAACCATCGATGTCTACCTCTGATGAAGTCTCAAGTCTCAAGCTGACCTTCACCTCCTACATGGTATACTGACTATTGTCCTCTGTGTTTCTATGCTGTGTAGACGGCGGTCGTGGCACGCTGACCTTCACCTCCTACATGGTGTACTGACTATTGTCCTCTGTGTTGCTATGCTGTGTAGACGGCGGTCGTGGCACGCTGACCTTCACCTCCTACATGGTGTACTGACTATTGTCCTCTGTGTTGCTATGCTGTGTAGACGGCGGTCGTGGCACGCTGACCTTCACCTCCTACATGGTGTACTGACTATTGTCCTTTGTGTTGCTATGCAGTATAGACGGCGGTGGTGGCACGCTGACCTTCACCTCCTACATGGTGTACTGACTATTGTCCTCTGTGTTGCTATGCAGTATAGACGGCGGTGGTCGCACGCTGACCTTCACCTCCTGCATGGTTTTCTGACTATTGTCCTCTGTGTTGCTATGCAGTATAGACGGCGGTGGTGGCACGCTGACCTTCACCTCCTACATGGTGTACTGACTATTGTCCTCTGTGTTGCTATGCAGTATAGACGGCGGTCGGGGCACGTTGACCTTCACCTCCTACATGGTGTACGCCTTGCCACTGTCAGCCATCTGCCTAGTGTGTGTGTGGGTGCTCCTGCAGATCACCTGCTTCGGATTCAGGTAACTAACATAGCAACGTGTAGTCATCAAATCAATCTTTCTTTGGACAGTCGGGGACGTGACACTGCTGCTTCTGACAAACACAATTTGTAGTGGGTGTAAACATTAGCATGATAGTGTGGTCTTTGGGTGACATTTCGGTCAAAACATAACTGTTGTTCGTCTCTTGAATTCAGCTGCCACTATTCTCATTTCAGGAAAACATTTTGCTGCCAAAAATCAGAAAATGCCGAAGACGACAAGGAAATAAGAAACCTTATAAAGAAGGATTACATAGCTCTTGGTCCGTTGAGGTACTCTCTACTCACTATTGCGACAACCATTTGGCCACCGTTCCCTGTGCAAACTTTCTCCTCAATTATGACTCATAACCGAGTGTCAGAGATAGAATATTTGTTCCTGCACATGGCACCTGTGTTGGCGTTAGCATGCACGTGGTACCTGTGTTGACGTTAACATGCACGTGGTACCTGTGTTGGCGTTAACATGCACGTGGTACCTGTGTTGACGTTAACATGCACGTTGTACCTGTGTTGGCGTTAACATGCACGTGGTACCTGTGTTGGCGTTAACATGCACGTTGTACCTGTGTTGGCGTTAACATGCACGTGTTACCTGTGTTGCCGTTAACATGCACGTGGTAACTGTCTTGACGTTTCATGCACGTGGTACCTGTGATGGCGTTAACATGCACGTGTTACCTGTGTTGTCGTTAACATGCACGTGGTACCTGTATTGACGTTAACATGCACGTGTTACCTGTGTTGGCGTTAGCATGCACGTGGTTCCTGTGTTGGTGTGAACATGCACGTGGTACCTGTGTTGGCGTTAACATGCACGTGGTACCTGTGTTGTCGTTAACATGCACGTGGTACCTGTATTGACGTTAACATGCACGTGTTACCTGTGTTGACGTTAACATGCACGTGGTTCCTGTGTTGGCGTTTACATGCACGTGGTCCCTGTGTTGGCGTGAACATACACGTGGTGCCTGTGTTGGCGTTAACATGCACGTGGTACCTGTGTTGGCGTTAACATGCACGTGGCACCTGTGTTGGCGTTAACATGCACGTGGTACCCGTGCCGGCTGTTTATGCACTTGGTGGACTTATTTTGACTGTTGACATTCACTCTACACGTGCGTTCATCATACACAACGGTCACCACAAGGACACGTTTATTAACTACAGTAAAGCGCTTGTAATGACCGTTGTTTATGGACGTGTACTTGTGATGACCGTTGTTAATGGGCGTGTACTTGTGCTGACCGTTGTTTATGGACGTGTACTTGTGATGACCGTTTTGGTTATGGACGTGTACTTTTGATGCCCGTTGTTTATGGACGTGTACTTGTGATGCCCGCTGTTTATGGACGTGTACTTGTGATGCCCGTTGTTTATGGACGTGTACTTGTGATGCCCGTTGTTAATGGACGTGTACTTGTGATGACCGTTGTTTATGGACGTGTACTTGTGATAACCGTTGGTAATGGACGTGTACTTGTGATGCCCGTTGTTAATGGACGTGTACTTGTGATGACCTTTGTTAATGGACGTGTACTTGTGATGACCGTTGTTTATGGACGTGTACTTGTGATAACCGTTGTTAATGGACGTGTACTTGTGATGCCCGTTGTTAATGGACGTGTACTTGTGATGACCTTTGTTAATGGACGTGTACTTGTGATGACCGTTGTTATTGGACGTGTACTTGTGATGACCGTTGTTTATGGAAGTGTACTGGTCAGTTTTGCAGAATGGATTGTGATGATCCACTTCATTGTGCTGGTACTACTGTGGCTGACTAGGAAGCCGGGGTTCTTCACTGGATGGTCACATGTTTTCCTGGACGGGTATGTAGGCGGCCACAAACTGCTATTTGAGTGATGCTGTCCCATATGTACCCCAGCTATTTGAGTGACGCTGTTCCCTCTGTTCTCCAGCTATTTGAGTGACGCTGTTCCCTCTGTTTCCCAGCTATTTGAGTGACACTGTTCCCTCTGTTCCCCAGCTATTTGAGTAACGGTGTTCTCCAGCTATTTGAGTGACGCTGTTCCCTCTGTTCCCCAGCTATTTGAGTGACGCTGTACTCCAGCTATTTGAGTGACGCTGTTCCCTCTGTTCTCCAGCTATTTGAGTGACGCTGTTCCCTCTGTTCCCCAGCTATCTGGGTGACGCTGTTCCCTCTGTTCTCCAGCTATTTGAGTGACGCTGTTCCCTCTGTTTCCCAGCTACTTGAGTGACGCTGTTCTCTCTGTTTCCCAGCCATCTGGGTGACGCAGTTCCCTCTGTTCCCAAACTATCTGGGAGACGCTGTTCCCCAGCTATTTGAGTGACGCTGTTCTCCAGCTATTTGAGTGACGCTGTTCCCCAGCTATTTGAGTGACGCAGTTCCTTCTGTTCTCTAGCTATTTGAGTGACGCTGTTCCCTCTGTTCCCAAGCTATTTGAGTGACGATGTTCCCTAGCTATTTGAATGACGTTGTTCTCCCGCTATTTGAGTGACGCTGTTCCCTCTGTTTCCCAGCTATTTGACTGACGCTGTTCCCTAGCTATTTGAGTTACACTGTTCCCTCTGTTCCCCATCTATTTGAGTGACGCTGCTCTCCAGCTATTTGAGTGTCGCTGTTCCCTCTGTTCCCAAGCTATTTGAGTGACGCTGTTCCCTCTGTTCCCCAGCTATTTGAGTGACGCTGCTCCCCAGCTATTTGAGTGACGCAGTTCCTTCTGTTCTCCAGCTATTTGAGTGACACTGTTCCCTCTGTTCCCCAGCTATTTGAGTGACGCTGCTCCCAAGCCATCTGGGTGGCGCAGTTCCTTCTGTTCTCCAACTATTTGAGTGACGATGTTCCCTCTGTTCCCCAGCTATTTGAGTGACGATGTTCCCTCTTTTCCCCAGCTATTTGAGTGACGATGTTCCCTCTTTTCCCCAGCTATTTGAGTGACTCTGTTCCTGCTGTGATGGTAACCTGCAGCCTGTTCATCTTTCCACGACGAAGACCAAATGTTCTGTTCTTTAGGAGGAAAGGAGGTACGTGGTAGTAATCACCTGCTGGACTAAAAGCTGTCTATAACATCGCTTTTACACACGTTGGACACAATATATAAACAGTTTACACCATAAACTGGCACCAGAGTAGTATGTATACTACTCGACATGTTCAAAAATTACACTTTCACTTGTGAGATTTTACACTTGTTGTTAGGACATACGAGGGCTGGCTGAAAAGTTCTAAGCCTAACTGTGAAAGACCTGTGAAAGACCCGTACCAAGTCGATGGTTTTCATTTATTTCTCCACATAGTCCCCTTCCAGGTTTACACACTTTTGCTGCAAGGCCTGGATGCCGGTCAAGGAGACATTTTCTTCAGCCACCCTCAAAAAGTCATTCACAGCGGAAATGACGTCATCATTACTAGGAAAATGGCGACCGGCTAGTTCCTTTTTCATTTTGGGAAACAGGTGGAAGTCTGACGGGGCCAAATCGGGTGAATAAGGGGGATGGTCAATGAGTTCGAAGCCACAATCAGCAGAATACCCTTGGAATCCCCAAAGACTGAAGCCATCACCTTTTCAGCAGAACGAACCGACGTGGCTTTGGGGGGGGGGGGGGGGGGGGGGGGGGGGCTGGTGATTCCGGATGCTTCCATTGTTTAGACTGAATTTTGGTTTCTGGTTGAAAGTGATGAATCCAGGTCTCATCCATGGTTACAAATCGGGCCAAAAAATCATCGGGATCTGCATAAATTGTCACGGGACGTCAGGAATCTGACACGTTTCTACTCTGCTGTCAAGGGCTTTGGCACCCATCTTGCAGAAACTTTTGTCATTCCCAACTCATTGGTGATAATGTGCTCAACCCCCTCAGGAGAGATGCCCAAAACCCTGGCAATATGTCGAGTGGTCATGTTTTCCGGAATGGTTGCTGTTGAAGGCCTTTCTGGACGCGGGTCATTGTCAAGGCTCTCTCTGCCACGCTTGAATTCCGCAGCCCACTTCTTTACAGTGGAAAAGGAAGGGGCATCATCCCCTAAAGTGGAGACCATGTCAGCATGTATCTGTGTTGGAGTTAGCCCTTTCAGTTGCAGGTACTTGATGACTGCCCTATAGCCAGTTTTGTCCATTTCTGGTGATTTCAATGGGTAGGTTCACAAGATGGTCTGGTACAAAGACAATAATAACACTACAGTTCTTATGTCTATGATTAATTAAATGATTGTACTTGTTGGTGACAAAAGTTTGTTTCAATCCGATTGAGATATCCCACTTAGGCTTAGAACTTTTCAGCCAGCCCTCGTAATATGGCAAAATATCGGCCAACATATCTTTTGACTCTGACTCCGATGCTGTGCTTTATGTCAGATAACAGTGAACCAGTATCACAAGAGTCAATCTTACAGTGGTCCACGGTGAGTTCAAGGTTCCCCTGGGGCGTTCTTCTGTTGCTGGGGGGAGGGTTCGCTCTAGCTGATGCCTGTCAGGTGAGTCTTGTCTTGAAGTGTACAGGGGCGGTCGGGTAGCCTAGTGGTTAAAGTGTTCGCTCGTCACGCCGGAGACCCGGGTTCTATTCTCGACATGGGAACAATGTGTGAAGCCCATTTCTGGTGTCCCCCGCCGTGATATTGCTGGAATATTGCTTAAAGCGGCGTAAAACCATACTCACTCACTCACTCACTAATTTTTTTATGTTTCCCAATTTCCACTAGACTATGGTTCCTGTCTATACGTGGGGTTCGGGGCTCGCCAATATCTCACCCGGTGAATCTATCTCACCCGATGTGTGTGTGTGAGAGAGGAAGGGGGGCAGGACCCGAAGATATCAGCCCCGGTGACGCTAAACAACACGTTCTCACTGCACTATAGTTCATGTCTACGTTCCACTCTACTTGTATTGGCTGGGTCTAGTCGAACTCCCACGTTAAATTCAACTATGTCTGTGATTGCAGAAGTCTGGCATGTCCCGAGCAGTGGCCGAGCAGCTGGTCTTTGTTAAAGCCATGTCTCCGACTGTAGCAGGGATCGTGGTCACGCTTATCTCGGGTGTGGGCACGGAGTTTATAGCCAACACAGTCGTCGCAACTCTACTGTTACCAATAATCTCTGAAGTGGTAAGTATACCAAGTATACCAGGCACCATAGTAACTTTCAGTTGGGACGGGAGGCTTATAAATCTTTCATAGGTTGAAATTCAGAACGAGTGTACATACTTTCTTGTACATAATCCTCTCCCCCCCCCCCCACCCCCCACCACACACACACACTTTCTCCCGGATTTGCGGATTTCACCAAATCGTCCATGTAACAACAATATCGCATCAGCCTGAAAATTAATCAAAATAATCAAACATAATCAAGTCTTTAACAGACATTTTGCTCGTCATCCAGGGGGTCCACCCGATCCCTGTTGTAGTCTTCAGTCCGTACGTGCCATGCCCAGTCTGTAAACATGTAACACTGTACATAAATCGGTAGAATGCAATGGGTTATGTATTCGTTTTATTTGCAGGCGCGCAGTATGGTCGTCCATCCCATGTACTTCATGCTTCCTGCCACCATAGTGACGTCATGTGCATTTATGTTGCCAGTGGCAACCCCTCCTAATGCTATAGCATTTGCTGGTGGCGACATCCGGGTCATCGATATGGTAATACCATGGTTACACTATACCATACCATGCCATCTCTGGTCAAATGTCATAGACATCAAGCATAACGTTTTGATATACAGAGAGTGAGTGAGTGTGATTTTACGCCGCTTTTAGCAATATTCCAGCAATATCACGGCGGGGGTCACCAGAAATGGGCTTCACACATTATAACCATGTGGGGAATCGAACCCGGGTCATCGGCATAGCAAGCGACACTTTAACCACACGGCTACCCAACCGATCTGATACAGGGGGAAGCAGACAATATGTCACACACATTAATAGACAGAGGAAACATAGTATGACTGTTCTGGTCGGCTACCATACATGCCTACCCGACTAAATAGACGCAGTAAAAGGGTTGGAAATTAGCATCATTGACTAACTCGATTACCCTGATTTGAAGTGCATTACGTATACGTAACAGAGTGTGTTTCCATTTAGGTAAAGAGTGGCTTCCTCATAAAGATCGTCACTATGCTGTGTGTGATACTATCAGTCAACACGTGGGGAATGGCGTACTTCCAACTTCATCAGGTCCCGGCATGGTTTGGGCCAGTCACCGAATCTTACAACACGTCATTCGTCCTGCAGACTGTCAACACCACTGTGAACACGCTTCTATAATACCCACCTCCAGCACCTCCACCAGCACCTCCACCACTACCAACTATCAACCTCAAACTGCTACCTTGTCGTTGTGCCTTCTATCTGTGTTCATGTGGCCGTGATGATGATACTGGGGATCTACCTAGGAATGTTCATGTGGCCATGATGATAATACTGGGGATCTACCTAGGAATGTTCATGTGGCCATGATGATGATACTGGGGATCTACCTAGGAATGTTCATGTGGCCATGATAATACTGGAGATCTACCTAGGAATGTTCATGTGGCCATGATAATACTGGGGATCTACCTAGGAATGTTCATGTGGCCATGATAATACTGGAGATCTACCTAGGAATGTCCATGTGGCCATGATGATGATACTGGGGATCTACCTAGGAATGTTCATGTGGCCATGATGATAATACTGGGGATCTACCTAGGAATGTTCATGTGGCCATGATGATGATACTGGGGATCTACCTAGGAATGTTCATGTGGCCATGATAATACTGGGGATCTACCTAGGAATGTTCATGTGGCCATGATAATACTGGAGATCTACCTAGGAATGTTCATGTGGCCATGATGATGATACTGGGGATCTACCTAGGAATGTTCATGTGGCCATGATGATGATACTGGGGATCTACCTAGGAATGTTCATGTGGCCATGATAATACTGGAGATCTACCTAGGAATGTTCATGTGGCCATGATAATACTGGGGATCTACCTAGGAATGTTCATGTGGCCATGATAATACTGGGGATCTACCTAGGAATGTTCATGTGGCCATGATAATACTGGAGATCTACCTAGGAATGTTCATGTGGCCATGATGATGATACTGGGGATCTACCTAGGAATGTTCATGTGGCCATGATGATAATACTGGGGATCTACCTAGGAATGTTCATGTGGCCATGATGATGATACTGGGGATCTACCTAGGAATGTTCATGTGGCCATGATGATGATACTGGGGATCTACCTAGGAATGTTCATGTGGCCATGATGATAATACTGGGGATCTACCTAGGAATGTTCATGTGGCCATGATGATGATACTGGGGATCTACCTAGGAATGTTCATGTGGCCATGATGATGATACTGGGGATCTACCTAGGAATGTTCTTGTGACCATGATAATACTTGGGATCTACCTAGGAATGTTCATGTGGCCATGATAATACTGGGGATCTACCTATTTATGTTCATGTGGCCATGATAATACTGGAGATCTACCTAGGAATGTTCATGTGGCCATGATGATAATACTGGGGATCTACCTAGGAATGTTCATGTGGCCATGATGATGATACTGGGGATCTACCTAGCCATGTTCATGTGGCTGTGATGATGATACTGGGGATCTACCTAGGAATGTTCTTGTGACCATGATAATACTTGGGATCTACCTAGGAATGTTCATGTGGCCATGATAATACTGGGGATCTACCTAGGAATGTTCATGTGGCCATGATAATACTGGAGATCTACCTAGGAATGTTCATGTGGCCATGATGATAATACTGGGGATCTACCTAGGAATGTTCATGTGGCCATGATGATGATACTGGGGATCTACTTGGGAATGTTCATGTGGCCATGATGATGATACTGGGGATCTACCTAGGCATGTTCATGTGGCCGTGATGATGATACTGGGGATCTACCTAGGCATGTTCATGTGGCTATGATGATGATACTGGGGATCTACCTAGGAATGTTCTTGTGACCATGATAATACTTGGGATCTACCTAGGAATGTTCATGTGGCCATGATAATACTGGGGATCTACCTATTAATGTTCATGTGGCCATGATAATAATGGAGATCTACCTAGGAATGTTCATGTGGCCATGATGACAATACTGGGGATCTACCTAGGAATGTTCATGTGTCCATGATGATGATACTGGGGATCTACCTAGGCATGTTCATGTGGCCGTGATGATGATACTGGGGATCTACCTAGGCATGTTCATGTGGCCGTGAAGATGATACAGTAAACTACGGTTATAACGAACTCAAAGGGACCACTTATTTTAGTTCGTTATAACCGTAGTTCGTTATAAGCATATATACAGCATATATACAACATATGGCCGGGACTAAAAAATAAGTTAGTTATATCAGTCAGTTCGTTATAAGCATGTTCGTTATAACCGTAGTTTACTGTACTGGGGATCTACCTAGGAATGTTCATGTGGCCGTGATGATGCTGGAGATTTACATAAGAATGTTCATGTGGCCATGATGATGCTGGAGATTTACATAAGAATGTTCATGTGGCCATGATGATGCTGGAGATTTACATAAGAATGTTCACGTGACCATGAAGTAATTCTGATAATGCTGCATATATAATAACAGTAGGGTACAAAAATACCTTGAAAAGTTTTTCTTGGATTCTGCTGACAACATAAAGAGCAGCGACCTTCACTATGATTAATTATGATTCAAATAATCTATTTTCTTTTATATCACGATGTCAACACTGTAGCTGGGCAGATATGTCAAATAAATGTTCACTCCTGGAAGAAAGCATGAAAATTTGTACATAGGGGTTATGGAGTATGCAGAATCCGATTTTAATGGGATCCACGCTTGCAAACCAATGGTTCCCACTCAAAATTGAGAAATCCAAGATGGCCACCATCCGTATTACAAATTTCAAAATATGGCCGTAACTTTGGATCTATTTGACATAGAAACATGATCTTGGTGGCAAATAATAGGTTTTCGGGGCCAAGGTATGCAATGAAATAGTTTAAAACACGATCAAAGATGGCAGCCATCCATTTTACGAATTTCGATATCTCTCCATAACTGTAATTTGATTCTCACTCAGAATTGAGATTGAACATCAAATGTATTAATTTGAACCATAATTTAAAACATAGCTTTTATTGATTTATTTTTTTCTGTCATCAGCACATGTGAATAAAGTTGTTGCAACTATAAGATTTTGAAAATATTTTGTGGGCATGACAACCCTAATACATGTAAAAAAACGAGAATCAAGAATCAAGAATCAAACAAAACTGTTTTTTTCTGACGTGATGCTACCATACAAGCAGCCTATAAACTTAAAAGTTGTTGGATTCCACCTAATTCTAAAAAAACAAGTGTTCTCTTCTTGCAAGAAGTCCTTCACTCAATAACCCTTTGTGTACACTGCCCACCACAAAAGCAGAGCTGTGTGCAGGGGAGACACATTGGTGGCGACCAAACACTTCCTTCCCATGACATAATGGACATTGGTGGCGACCAAATACTGTCTTCTCATGACATAATGGACATTGGTGGCCACCAAATACTGTCTTCTCATGACATTGAGTACATTGGTGGCGACAAAACACTGTCTTCTCATGACATAATGGACATTGGTGGCGACCAAATACTGTCTTCTCATGACATTGAGTACATTGGTGGCGACAAAACACTGACTTCTCATGACATAATGGACATTGGTGGCGACCAAATACTGTCTTCTCATGACATTGAGTACATTGGTGGCCACCAAATACTGTCTTCTCATGACATTGAGTACATTGGTGGCGACAAAACACTGTCTTCTCATGACATAATGGACATTGGTGGCCACCAAATACTGTCTTCTCATGACATTGAGTACATTGGTGGCGACCAAACACTGTCTTCTCATGACATAATGTACATTGGTGGCAACCAAACACTGTCTTCTCATGACATAATGGACATTGGTGGCGACAAAACACTGTCTTCTCATGACATTGAGTACATTGATGGCGACCAAACACTGTCTTCTCATGACATAATGTACATTGGTGGCAACCAAACACTGACTTCTCATGACATAATGGACATTGGTGGCGACAAAACACTGTCTTCTCATGACATAATGGACATTGGTGGCAACCAAACACTGTCTTCTCATGACATAATGGACATTGGTGGCAACCAAACACTGTCTTCTCATGACATAATGGACATTGGTGGCGACAAAACACTGTCTTCTCATGACATAATGGACATTGGTGGCAACCAAACACTGTCTTCTCATGACATAATGGACATTGGTGGCAACCAAACACTGTCTTCTCATGACATAATGGACATTGGTGGCGACAAAACACGGTCTTCTCATGACATAATGGACATTGGTGGCCACCAAACACTGTATTCTCATGACATAATGTACATTGTGGCAACCAAACACTGTCTTCTCATGACATTGAGTACATTGGTGGCGAGCAAACACTGTCTCCTCATTAAGATGAGAATGATCTATGATCATTATACAATAAAAATGATTTGTAACAAATATATCACAGTACCACATAACGTGAAACCCTCATTGCCTGATTTAATTCACCTGTTTTAGTTACAGTATTCCTAACCATGCTAACAGTATCTCAAATATATTCTAGGGTTAATCATTTGCATAATCATGCATAACACAGAAGCAGACACACACATTCAACGTTCATGCATACAGTAAATACAAGGCCACATAGGACTTGACACATCTTCACGCTGACTAGAACATGTTACCAGTGTATACATTAGCTTTCAGATAAAATGATGTGGATCTGATTTCTGGTTGGTATTTTGATCGTCTGGTTTCTTCAATATCCAGCCAAGGAATGACCATGAGGAACACAAGCTCACAAGAATTCTTGGACAACTTAATGGCATGAACAGTCAAGTAACTGTAAATCAGGATTACAAAATGGGGAAAAGTATAAACATGTGAGCAGCATGGTGAGTCTCTGAACCGTGGCAGTGAGTAATATTCCAGCCATACCACTGTGGACTGTAAATATTTGTTACTCTAATCTGGGGGGACACCGGCAATAAAAAATATACTGGTGTGAACAGTGGAACCTCACTTGTCCGGATGATTTTGAATTTAATAAATTACAATATTTTAAAAATGCGCTGTTTATCACGAAATCTGGTTTCTAAAACCAGATGGTGAATTTCACTAACCAACAATACTACTGCTCACTTTCATGCTCAACTTCCTGGACTGTAGCAATGTCTGACAAAAGTTGTTTAGAAAGTCATCACACACAGCCAATATCAAAAGGGTTGGATTAAGATGCTTTTTGGTTTGGCTGTTAATCTAATTTTAATGAGGCAATTTAATCCCGAAGTGTATGCCTACTATAGAAACAACACAAAGGTGTCGGTGATCTCCAAAAAATAATTCCTCTTCACAGATTGGTTGCTTGCCTCTGAGAGGCAAATTCAGCAGGCAGAATCTATTCGGATTCATTTGATTTACTTGAAAAAAGTGAATGTGTGTGTGTGTAAGTGAGACTTTTGTTATATATCAGGCTTGAGTATTGTCAGGGGACTAACAATTGTCAGATTACTAAGCGATTTACATATTTTAATTATTATCTTAATTATTGCACAATATTTCCCTTTCATAACCATGATAACCTCAGTCATTTCAACTTTCAAGGATGCCCAAAATGCAGAATCACAAGATAACATAGACAAAGTAAATGGGCTTTACCGCATCTTCTTAACTGTATACATAAATATGCCTTCATCTGTACCATGATGTGGATTATGTCTTCATCTGTACCATGATGTGGATTATGCCTTAGGCCACCTCTGTACCATATCCTTTTGAGAAGTACCTGTATTCATAAAGCTGTATTGCTTTCCGAGCGCATATGTATCCTGTATATATGACTGAATAAAAATTTATAAAAAAAAAAAAAAAAAAAGTATATGGGCTATGTCAACAAAACAACATGGCGATGGTCAGTGACAATCAAAGTAACAGAACATCAAGTAATTAAATACCTCATTGCCATTATTATCAATATTAATGCAAAGTTACTGCTTCTTATGACTTGAGGCATCAAGATGTTGGAACTGAAATGAACCAGTTGACAGTGAGTGTTAGTTGACAGAGTAGCATGAAATAAGCCTACATGAACCAGTTGACAGTGAGTGTTAGATGACAGAGTAGCATGAAATAAGCCTACATGAACCAGTTGACAGTGAGTGTTAGATGACAGAGTAGCATGAAATAAGCCTACATGAACCAGTTGACAGTGAGTGTTAGATGACAGAGTAGCATGAAATAAGCCTACATGAACCAGTTGACAGTGAGTGTTAGATGACAGAGTAGCATGAAATAAGCCTACATGAACCAGTTGACAGTGAGTGTAAGATGACAGAGTAGCATGAAATAAGCCTACATGAACCAGTTGACAGTGAGTGTTAGATGACAGAGTAGCATGAAATAAGCATGATAAGCCTACATGAACCAGTTGACAGTGAGTGTTAGATGACAGAGTAGCATGAAATAAGCCTACATGAACCAGTTGACATTGAGTGTTAGATGACAGAGTAGCATGAAATAAGCCTACATGAACCTTTGACAATGTTGATCTCAGTGAGTAGTTAGCATCACAACTATTTGATAGGCTTTCATACTCCTCACTATAGCATGCAATGCCAGTTTCAACTCTCAAAGGCTAGAAGCTGGTCACTGTCACTTGGCTCATAATGCTCAGAGACTTCAGGTTCCTCGTTTTGTCCATCAGATAACTCCTGCTTACTGCCAGCACACTCCCCATGTTGTAATGTCAAACTGTCGTTGGTCATCTCCTCACACAGTGACACGTCACTAGCTGCCACACTCGACCTGGAGGGCAGCACCAGAGGAACCGTTACCAGTGCATCACAGCTAGGGTGAGACTTCCGATGTCTCTTGACATCCCTCGGCTCATAAAACAAAACACCACACTTTGGACATGGGTGCTCCTTGATGTGAGTGTGTACTCTCATTACATGACGTTTCAGGTGACCGGATTGTTTAAATTCATTCCCACAGATGTCACACTTGAAAGGCCGCTGTCCTGTGTGAGTTCGCAGGTGGCTCTGTAGGATATTGATCCCTGCAAACGTCTTGTCACATACATGGCAGGGAAATGGCTTCTCGCCTGTGTGAACCCTCATGTGTCTTGTCAGATCTGTCAACTCAAAGAAAGTGCGACTACATACACCACAGATAATGGATCTTTCATTAATGTGGACTCTCTGAACATGGCGTCGTAGATGCACTGACTGGCGGAACAGCTTGTCACATAGGTCACACTTAAAGGGCTTATCACCTGTGTGGATGCGGCGGTGAGACTTGAGGTAACTGACACCTGCAAAAGATTTCTTGCAGATCTCACAGCTGTATAGCTTCTCCCCTGTGTGTGTCCGTTCATGGCGCCGCAAGTCCCCCGAGTCTGTGAAGCGACGGTCACACATGTTACAACTGAATGGTCTTTCTCCTGTGTGGTAGCGCATGTGTGTCACTAGGTGTGCTGACTGGGAGAAGGTCTTGTCACACACATCACACGCATAAGGCTTCTCCCCACTGTGTGTTTTCATATGACAAGCAAGGTGGCCTGATTGTCCAAATGATTTAAAACATAATGTGCACTCAAATGGTTTCACTTTTGTGTGTGTGCGCCTGTGAATTGTAAGATGACCAGATTGACGGAACTCTTTGCCGCACTCTATGCACTTAAAGGGCTTCTCCCCAGAGTGGATTCTTAGGTGACATTTCAGTGTGCTCAGGTCAAAAAATGAGCGCTGGCAGATATTGCATGTCTGTACCTTTCGTGTTGCAGATTTTGAATCTGGGCATGTCCTTATGTCTGTAGTTTTCACCTGTGAAAAGAACAGTTCAGTGCTGCTGTCTTCACTTGAATCACTCTCCCCTGTTGCAGTAACATCCATTGTTGACTTTCATTACCTAAACAGAAGCATACCTGTGAACCACGAGTACATATTCCTGTAGTCCGGTAGAGTCCCAAGCTAAGATTCGACAACGAGAACCTTGTCCATATGTGAAGCTGGTAGAGTAGAGAAAGATCATGAAGATTACCATCACTATTTCCGTGACATGTAAATAATCAAGTTTGCAATTAGTTATGAATAAGAAGCCAGATTCAAGCACAGCTCAATTCTGACTATAGTTGCATCCTAGCATCGTGAAGCAATTTTCTGTTAATGTTGTTGGATTAACCGGAAGTTTTTAAAGGTACATAAACTCCGTATTACGCGCCTATGCTTCGGCTGATCTGTTTGCGGGTTCGCTCTGCGCAATAATGAAATTATCCTTTGGTTGGTTTATTTAAAATACAGATTGTGTATCGGAATACGGAATTCCTTTTAATAAGAAATGCAATTAATGTAACAACAATATATGATTGGTGCACATAATCCATTTTATCCATGTAAAAATCCAGCTACAATATGCATGGCGATAATTTCCCAAATTTATCAATAAATAAACCCGTTGTTTACATATTCTAAACTGTAGTAGCTATTATACCGCCAGATAATTGAAGTTAATATACCTTCATAAGTTGGTGAGATGGGCAGCTCAAGACGTAATACACCGTGATACGGAGAAAATACCTCCATCATCCCCAACGACATCCCCTACGTTTAAGTTTAGATGTTTCTTTCCTTCCTACTTCTGCCTTTGTTGCACTTGGAATGGTATTTAATACATAATACATAATTATGTTTGTTTGTTTTCTGTGTTTTTAAAAAAATAATTGATCTACATACCTTTCTCTTCAGATATAGAGCAATACCTTTGATTGTTGAATGTGTTGTAGAGGACATTAGTTCAATATATTTTTGACGAGAAGGACGTTTATAGTGATATTGTGGGATGAACGTTTTTCTACTTCGCTTATAATATGAACAGACTAATACAACATAGTACTCGTCCTCAACAACTAAGGCATCACAATGGTCACAGTATAGCAGAAGCTGATCAACATTTGTTTTCGCATTACTTTTACTATAACACAGTTTTTGTACTTACCTAATACACAGATCGAGTCTTTATCTGAAACACCTGGTGTGTTATACATCTCTAGCGCGGGTAAGGACTTGTATAAATTATAATGTTACAGATAATATGAGCTAAAAATCATTTGAAGCCATTTCTGTATCCCAACATCTACACATCTCTGTTTAAACACAGTTATGAAACCATTAGTGTGCAATATAGACATAAACAAAACCTGTTTGAATTAATAACATCCTGACATGTGAAACCCAATTTAAAGTCCCAGTCGCTTCGTGTGACTTTCATATTTTATAACAGGCATAGGGGTAACGCATCGGATTCATACGAAGAAGTCCACAGCTAACAAACGACATATACCGAAGGAAAAAACAAAACTGTACTCCATATACAGTGGTGTAAATGTTATGCTTTTAAAAATAATGGGCATTATTCCAGCTAATCCCAGACGTGTTCTATGGTGGAGAGGTCTGAAGAAACAGCCGGCCATAACAGACATGTTATGCTTGCTAAAAACGTCTGTTTCAACATGTGCAACGAGTTTGCGGACATTATCTTGCTGTAGCGTGGCGTTACGTGCCCCTGCATTTGCACAAAGTGTAGAACACGATGTAGCGTACGCCATTCAAATTGCTATTAATAATGATGAGCAGCCATGAGTTGTGAGGCTCGTAGCAAGCCATGAGTGTTGTTGCTGTAACTAACGTCTCCAAAGAGATGATATTGTGTTTCGAGGTACATTAAACTGCAAGCCGCGGCATTGCGTTTGCGTTATTTACGGTTAAACAAAAGTGTTTGTATGAGCATCTGATAGCTAAACAATCACTGTACATCCGGGGTACAATAGGTCTTCAGCAACCCATGCTTGTCGTAAGAGTCGACTAACGGGATCGGGTGGTCAGGCTCGCTGACTTGGTTGATGTATATCATCGTATCCCAATTGCGTGGACCGATGCTCATGATGTCAATCACTGGACTGTCTTGTCCAGACTCGAGTATTTACTGACCGTCGTCATATAATTGGAATATTGCTGAGTGTGGCGTTAAACAACAAATAAACAAACAAAACATTCAAAATCCACGTATGGGAATGTCATGCTCCCAACAAAAATCCAAATGGTTTGCTGTGCATGAACATGCAATGCAAACTGAATCACGACCTGAAATACGAGGAGATGTCTTCATGGATATGTACAGAAAGCTGTATTATTTAATTTCAGAATATATCTATTTTTTATTCAACTTTATGGTAAGCATAGTTTCCTTTTGCCGCTAGTATATAAAAGAAATACTGACTGTTGCAATTTTAATGAATGAGTACTATGTGACTACTTCATGTCAAGCCTTTGTTCATTGTAGACATTTGTTGTTAGACAGGTGAAGACTGAGACCATACCGGTTGTCATCCGCCTGCAGGTCCAGTAACAACAGAACCACCTGAACAGTGTCATCATCATCATCATCATCATCATCATCATCATCATCCACAACTGGTATATACCAAAAGTACAATCACAGAATAGTGGTACATGACTGAAAAAAATGGCAATAGCTATAGTTATTTACGGTTATTTACTAAAAAACTATTATTGAAATCAAATATTGAATTTGTAGATATAAACTTTGGAATGATTACTCTTTATTTTTAGAGGTATGACTAAAATGGATGAGCAAGGCTGATGTTTCGAAAATCAAGAGAAATCAAACGGTGGTGACATCCATGTCTCAAGATGATGTACCTCAGTTTGTACTCTCTTGTCCTACATGGCCTAGGGAAATCAACCACGGTAAACTATTTCATGTTCAGTTTTTAGAAAAACACTTCTGAGAACCTGTCTAATCCGTTCTTTTGACAAGTATGAAGACATTCGACGACACATTGCTCACTGCATAACTTCACCGATCCTGTTGGGGCATCATCATCCCTTGTCCTTTCTAGGATAGGCGCACAGCGCTGTGTAAAGTGACGTTTCCATGAATATTCCAAATGTTTCTTCGTTTTAAGTAAACGCCGGTTCCCATCTATCTCTATACAGACCATTAATACAATAACAGTACATCTGCTCCCCCGAGACGTATGCTGGGAGATTCCCGTAGGACGTGGACTATGAATACGTCGGAGTGTTTTCGGTTACACCAACATAACATAACACAGAGCGTGCTGACAGCGGTGCTGTCTGGGTATCATGTCTACAGACAGCTACACGCCATTGAGGCAAAGTGAGACTGTGCCGTTCTTGAAGTAGGAACATTTCAGCTCGAGGTGTGAGATACAGCAATGCTTATGACAGAAACATGTACCAGCTGGCTTGTCTCTGTTCTGTTGTGTATGTCCGTCCTCTGTAAGTAGCATTCATGTCTTTATCCCTGCTATCCCTGCTATCCCATGTCCTTCCGTGGACATTGAACTGAAATCCAATTATTAGTTTATTCCCCCGAAATAATCCTAAATCCAAAGGTATATTATTTCTTTCCTTGAACATAACTGTCGCCATAGTATTCGGTAGGAGCACGTGGTTTCTCGGGGAATATAATGACGTTTTCACTGGCTGTGAACTTACATATCAATGTCGTTTTCATCTATAATGTAAGGATCGTCCCTAAAAACGTCCCCTTATTAGAATGGTAGCATGGCCCAGTCAGTGTGCAGAATTGCATCCCTCATGAGCGCCAATTTCAATTTCTTTATTCAGTATAAAGGCCACAGGCCCATGAACAAATAAATATTGATTTGTCATAAAAACATACAAGATCGTTGAGTTTTGTTAAGAATAAAAGTAATTATTTTCCCACATAATTATGTCCATCAAAGTAATGCCTATATAATTATCAACATCACTTGTACTTCCTTTCTTATGTAAAGGAAATATAATACTCTTTGACCACTGTGGAGGATATGTCACTTTCGTAAATATGAAACTGAACAAAATCTTAAGGTAAGGTAACAAAATACTCCCACCGCATTTGTAGACCTCATGGGGAATACCGTCAGGGACAGGTGTTTTATTATTTTTTAAAGATGAAATAGCAAAGACGATCTCCTCTTCAGTTATGGGCTGGTTTATCATGTCATTTATACCCTCATCAATCTCCAAATTATCTATATCATCAATATAACTACTGAGAAAAGACATGAATTCTGTATCTGTAACATTGTCTTGAATATTGAGCACCTGAGTAAAGTATTCAATCCATGCTTTACTGCTAATATCGCCTTGGCGTTTATTACAAGGATTTCTAATAATGGATTTTACGTAAGACCAAAAAGCTTTGGGCTTTTGCTTACTAGAGTTGACAATATCTACAGCAAGTGTATTTGCATAGACGGATGATTTAGAACGATAAACCTCTCTATACTTATTTCTTGTACGTCTAAAACTTTGCAAAAAAATAATCAAGATTTCCTGACAATCTAAACTTATCAAGGTACATATACTTCTCAATTTTTAATGAGTGACATTCGTCAACATACCAAGCTTCATTTGTGCACACATTCGAAGTTCGACATTTAACTTTCATATTATTTTCACCTGCACACTGCTGAATGGTAGTAGATAACAGTTTTGCTGCCTCTGAAGTGTCATGATTATAAAGAGAACTAAAATAGTCTACATCTATTTATTGAATATTCACATTCAATGTATCAATAAAATCTGCTGCCCGAGATTCCTTCCAGACATGTTTATCAAACTTGCTTGGTATAGTCTCTGATTCTGAATGTTGAAGCGATGGAGAATCGCCAGAAACCTATGAAGTTCGAATCCTGATACGCCCTGATCATGCGTCAAGGTTCGTCAGCACCGTGCTTGTGGGTTTACCAATAATACCTGTATTACTTCGGTGTTTTCTCCCGCATCGAGCTGAAATACTGCCCCAAGCAGCGTTAAACCCAATCAGTCACTCATTCAAAACAGTTGATATCCCTACCTCTGTACATTATGTACCATACATTCAAACACGGGTATCAATGTGCGCGAGGAATTAACATTGTCATGTCCTTGTATGATGTGCAGTATGTCACGTTTCAGTATGATTTGTCGCAACAGTGCTGACACTGAAACTGTCCATGATTAGATATATCTTTGTGATTTGCGAAAATCAGCCTTAAATTATTTTATTGTCTTGCAATGTTTTATGTTTTTTGAGGAAATCTATTTTATATAGATGAATATACATGTGTGTGTGTGTGTGTTTGCGTGTGTGCAAGCGAGGGTGCGTACGCTTGTGCGTGTGTGTGTGTGCGTGTGTGTGCGTGCGTGTGTGTGTGTGTGTGTGTGTGTGTGTGTGTGTGTGTGTGTGTGTGTGTGTGTGTGTATTGTTATAGTCCCTACCTGTTTTATGTTGTATACGTACATTGCTGGATTTTATTGGGTTGAGACGTTAATGATTCCTCTTTTTCTCTATTTGTCTGTCTAGAAGTCTCAACGTTTCGTACCAATTGTCAGCCCCCTTTTAATAAAGTCTCTAACACAGTTTTAAATGACATTGTATGTATGAGCTCGCTAGATGGGATATGGGCCCACAACATTGAACCGGGGTGTTCGGCATGACGAGTCATTTCCCATTGGTTACTGGTATACATTTCGTATTAAGCTCACACAAGAATAAACAAATAATTGTACACACACCCCGAACCTTGGTGTTAACTATCGAGAAAGGTTTCAAGGCGACAGGTCTTTTTGTTTCAGACGCGAGGCGTCCAACCGCGTATGTGTAAATACGTAATATATATCCGAGACGTTTTAAACTTCTATTGACGAGTGTTATTGACAGAGAGATTATTGGTGAACTTTAATTATGACGCCATGGTAACCGATGATGTCACAATGGTCTTCAAGGCCATCACTACCACGGTTTACATAGTGTATATCTCCTGACATGGACACCACTGAGGAGTCTTGCTTGAACATCTACTATTACCTTTAACATGCGAACTGGTATTGTAGCTGCATGACAGTCAGATGATTAACTTAGCAGAACTGTTTATAAGTGCAAATACTTCTGTGTTTATGTAACGTGTGATGGTTTTACATACAGTAAAGTAATGTACGGGACAGGCCACACCTATCTGACCCCGCGGTCTCCAGTCGGACTGCGCGGAGGCATTAGGAAGGTGCAACAGCTCGTCCGCCAGTCTCAAACCGAGTGTCCACATGGATAATTCGGGGAGTTAACCATGCTCGTCTCCCACTGAGAATCCAGGGAAGAATACATCGTCCCTCGACGAGGTGGAGTGCTACCCGTGGGATTTCCAGGGAAGAATATAGGTCATCTGTATACCCTGATTGTCGAAAGAGCTAAGCATGATTGGGTGGTCAGGCTCGGTGATTTGGTGGATTGCGTGTCATGTTGCTCCGACTTTGCGGGTCGTTGATCATGATTTCGAACACTGGTTTGTCTGTCCCAAACACTGTTATTTACATGGCGCCACAGCGACGGCTTTCTTCCGCGTGACCAGCATTCACTCACTTCCCCGTGGTGCAGAACACAAGCTGGCTGTGGGCGGTTTGAGGGATGGTTGTTGGGCAACCAATAATACTCAACAACATATGTTTGTTGCAGGCAGTGTCATTGTGATCTGCTGGGGCTGTACATGTGCACAGTTGCGTCCCTTAGGCTAGCCAGAAACCTATGATCGTGGGTTTGTATCCCAATTCTCCCTGCTGATTTCTAGGTTTGTCAACACCATAACACCATAACACCAGACAAGCATTACCGACACGCCGTGATACAACTGAACTACTGTTAAGTGCGGCGTTAAACCCAACTCACTCACTCACTCGTACACTACACAGCAGCAAATAATGGAGAAACACGTTAAAATAAAAAAAAATCAACAACTTTTATTCCTACAGAAATAAGAGAACTTATAGATTCTACAAGAGACAAAATACAGATTATAAAGTGAGGCACTTGTCCTAGGGCGAACTTATCAATATCCTTTGAGACAGAACACGTGACTGTTGTCAAATAAATGTTTACAACACATGGAAATCAAAGAATGAACTGTATCAAGTATTTATTCACAATTTATTTCTGCAACAACGTCGATGGCAATCTAGAAAATGCACAATCGGTTTCAAAAGCAACATTATTTGAAGTACAACCATATGTATGTGTACGGGTTTGTGTAAGCTATGAATCATTTCTTTTCTACTGTTGATGTGCCCAAAATTACAATGACAAAGACATAAATACTTGTATATAGCATCAGAATTCAGATTGTGATTTGTTTCAAGAGAGTCCCTTGTACAGGTAGTCAGCGATTTCTGATACTGGTGTCTCGTGGTTGTACTTGTGTATACTTCACTGTGATTTGGCACATTTAATCCCACCATGTTTAGCATGTGTCACCAGCAGGAACTACATCAATTCCGCTACACTAAAGATCGGCGTGCTCAATGTCCCTGTATTTACAAACTGTACACAAATATGATAAAACCATTTCAACAACAAATTCTTTCCTACATAATTAAGGACACATTTTGCAAAGTAATCTCAAACGTTTAAAAAACCCTAAAAGATTAGGGAAAATAAATTATTAATGTTCATCATGTATGGATCAGGATTATATCTTAATTCTAAAGTTTTGAGCGCACTTTTGGATTTGATCGAATAATGAAATAATTCACTTGCCACCTAATCAGACTTAATGCAACATGTAGCATTATGTCTCGCTCCGACAGGGCGTGCTGCGCAAGACGACACAAACACAAACAATATCTATCATTGAGACATAAGGATAATACTGTGAGAAAACATACTATGTACAAGAAATAACTGCATCTTCCGTCATGCACGGTCAGATCTGTCTCTCGGTCACACACTGTCTGTATCAGACATCCTCTCCTCTGATTGTCTCTGCACATGGACTTCCGGGTATGCCTGCGCATGCTGGAAGCCGGTGAATCTTTTGAACTTGAACACATTGCATGGCGTGTCCGCCTCCTCCGGTTCCACAATGTCTATGAACTGAACGTAGTATCTTGAAAAAAGGCACTGCATAATTGCATGCAAAGTTGAAAATATGAACATAATAAACGTACTTGATACAACAACCGTTGCATATGATTACACCTTAGCAACACAATGTAGAGTACATCCACAACTCTTTTCATCGTCTGAGGTGCATCCAGTTTCCACACTTGGTTAAATTCACGATCAAAAATCATATTTGACCTTCGTCATTCAGGATATTTTTTCAGAAAACACGTCACATCGAGATGAGTAAGATCCACTGTAAAATCCATCAAAATTGAGACTTGAAAATTCTTTGTGCTAGTCCTCAGAACAACATACACGAAGCAGAAATTGCGCAGAAAATGTGCGTATTTGAATGTCCGACAACACTGAAAATATCAAAAATGGCGACGTGGTTATTATTGCATCCGGGTACCCGTGCCCCCTAACGTCTCAAGTGGCAGTTAAGTAGCATATGCCTAGAGTGGACAACAAGCTAGTCACCACCATGTCTTACTAACACGATTCAAATGTAATATTCCGTCAGCTTACGGATACACATATTTTCGTGATGTCTTTTGGCAGAAGAGCCAGGCTGGTGGTGGGTGGTGTCGCGGTACTGAGAGCGTCTCATACGTCGTTGCTGATCTTGGCGGTAGGCTTGGGCTGTTCTGCTGGCTTCAGCATCATCTCAACCTGCTTCAGGGACGAATACTGATGGATGCTGTTCCACTGAATCCCGTCACGCTGGAAGTAGTTTCTGTGGAAACCCTTGGTGTAGTATTTGCCGTTCAGGTGGGAGTCGAAGCAGTTGTTGAACCACCATGCGCCGTGGTAGTGGTGTGCACAGCTGTCGTAGTAGCGGCCGTCGTTGTCCTTGTCCTTAGTGCTGAACGCCATGCCGTCATGGTTCTCCCAGTGGGACGTCAAGGAGTCGCCGGCGTTTCCATGGTAACCACTGACATGAAGTCGATACAACTTGGTCTCATTGTCGATGCTGAAATGATCGTAGTTGGCCACGTATTTCTTGCCGTCCCAGTCCTGCATCTCGATCAGCAGCATCGTGTCACCTGAAAATTAATAATAATAATAATAATAATAATAATAATAATAATAATAGTAATAGTAATAATAGTAATAATAATAATAATAATAAACAGGATCACCCAAACCCTCTCTGCTGCATTTTTATTTTAATCTGTACATAATAATAATCTCCCCTAAAGTAACAATCTTGTCACTGTTTCGCGGTCTTTAGATTTGGATTTCTGTCGAATCTAATATGTGTCCTGTTAACCGAATGAGATAATGATAATGTAAACATTTGTCCGTCTATAAATGTCATATCGCTAGTAAACGGCGTGTGCCCTCATTCAAGCAAGCCTACATTGTCAGTAGTTTCTCTCTGGGGCAAGTCGGGTTGGTGTTACATAACACGAGTAACATACGGCTGGCACCTCAGGCACTGAATGGTGCACGTGACGTTCACCTTTTTTGCTGGGTATTTTCATGGTATTTGGATGACATTAACTCGTCATAGTTTACACGAATAAAGAGAATGTATGTCCCATCCCACAAAGAACCTGTCCCGCTAACTGACATTGCTATGATCCCTCTTCATAGCAGGTAATTGATGACCAGTATTGAAATAGACAACACAAAGCCTGCTATTGACAAGCCTTATAAAGACACCGTTTTCTATGATTAAACGTGCAGCAAGGAAAGCCTCTTGTTGACTCTATACCCTTGAATGAACACGTCACGACCAAAGCAAATAACACGGGCTTATATTTGTTGTCCATTCAATGATCGGTGTTAACAAATAGTTACTATGGACGACTTGTGATGTTTGGTATATGCATTGTCAGTCGACAATGTTTGTCTTTCTAAAGACATGTCTCAATACTACCGCTATATACATTTGTGCTGAATATAACGTCACTGCGCATGTGCGGGTTAAACTCTGTTGGAATGTGAATCTTTGGTGGCTTGTGGTTCAGTTGGTAGGAGTTCAGTCAGATATGTGTCCTTAATGCAGCAACACTGGGACACGGAATACCAGCTTTCAACTGATGGAATTAAGGATCTCACAGACATTTAGAAGAACTACGTGTGTATGAGTGTACTCAAAGAGAATGTGTAGATATACCAGAAACAACGCAGAGAAGGTTCTGGAAACAAACATAAAAGTTATGTGAAGCTAATGTCACAAAGGACTAATATGGCTTCCTAATTTTGAAAACAGAAAATTCTCGTGTGGACCAACTGTTGTTTGACTGCAGCGTGGGTTAATAGTTCTTCGTCACGTCTAACCTACTCACAATCCCCTTCCAACCATGTATCGAAGGAATGGCTTCGACAGCCGGCGGCTACAGCGGACCCCTCGTCTAGAGATGGCGGTCTGGCAGGACCTGGTGAGCGACACGGGGCACATGCACATGCCCGGGTATGACCCCAATGACCCTTACAGCTGCACGTGCTACCCCAAGCCATCCAGCATCCAGATCCCGTCCATGGTGTATGACGAGATCCGGTGTCCTCACCCCGAGAAGCATCACCTTCAGCCGGCCCAGGACGATGTGTTCGCGTATCCCTGGACGGTGCAGACATATGAACCTCCATTTGACAAGAACTCGTACAGACCCATGAGTCTCCCACCAAGGCCGCCGATGTCCGCTAAGACCGCCCCGCCCTATGTTGGCATGAAAGCCAAGAAACCACAGAGTGTGGCTCCACCTCCTAACTCAGCTCCTGACAAGGTCAAGGTTCCAAAGTTGGACCTGAATCTTCTTGAGCAGCCCCAAAGATCAAAGGTAGTGACAACACCGACGTTAACGACAATCGGTGAAGCTCAGGACGACTTCGCGGAGACGAAGGGCAACTATCCCACCATCACCCAGTACGACAGCGTTAGCCAAGTGCTACAGAGACGTTACTCCTCCTACTACCGGAACCCGGCCCCCACGCCGCTCCACTTCAAAGACCCAGACAGGAACATGATGCGGAGGACACCGGTGCGAGATCCCCCCTACAAGGGGATGCCCCCCAGGACGAGGGAGGTGATCACACGGGACCTACCCACCAGGAATAGTGCCTACTACAGCAGGTTCGAGTACAGCCCACCGCCCCAGGTCCGGGGCACCCCCGGGATGAGATCCTACACAGCCACTATGGACCCAGTCCCCACAAGGCAGTTCGAAGGACATTACGTCGACCCGAGTAAGTGACGTCACGTTGTAAAATGTCCTCTTCTGTCCAATATATGCTATCGCAGATGAATGTACTGTGATTGAACGGATCGATTCTAAAGAAGCTGGGGTAGCGAATGGGTCTATCGTATTTTCATTTAATAGACGCCGTGACATAACTTGAATACTGTTCAAAGCGGCGTTAAACCCGACTTACTCACTCTTTTTATAGAGTGGAGATTAAAATATGTTGGATAATCCCACTTAACAATTAATACCTTCTTAGTTACGACTTCGATACATTATATAACCATCGTAGGCTTGTGGAAACAGGGCACTGATTTGATGATCCTTCAAAATAGTAACACATGATTGAAAGGGAATCATGAAATAACTAAAGTAGACAGTATGTGTTATTTGTAATTATCAGTGGACAATATAGCGCCAGGGTCAACAATACCAAGCATATATGAAAATCTTATCAATGGCAAACTTTCTGTTTATGTGGAAATGTAAATCTGAGAGCTGACAGTATGTTGTACTGTTGCGGTTTCATAATTCCTATGCTAATGTAACACGAACTGACTTCAACTGTCACATATAGGCTGGTGAGATGTATTGTGGTGTGGCGGTTTCATAATTCCTATGCTAATGTAACACGAACTGACTTCAACTGTCACATATAGGCTGGTGAGATGTATTGTGGTGTGGCGGTTTCATAATTCCTATGCTAATGTAACACGAACTGACTTCAACTGTCACATATAGGCTGGTGAGATATATTGTGGTGTGGCGGTAGCACACAGTGCAGGCAGGTTCGATCTCCCTGTGTGTCCCGTATACACCATCACGTACACGTGTTTTGGCCACTAGTAATGAGGCCACTCGTATATTGCATTAACCAACCACCTGATACATACTGGCGAATACGTTGCTATTCGTTTATAGGTCAAGTATTGTCACAGCGCGAGAATATTGTCGCAATTCAGAAGGCATACTCAGTCATCAGGATCAGCCCAGAAGCACCCTCCAACCAGATGGAGAGTTAACAGGACGAAGTGGATATTTCTCTTATAAACTTATCATGTCAGTCTTAAGGTTTTCCCAATTAAGAAAACAAATACACCGATATTGTGGAAATCTTACGGTACATTACGCACAAAAAACCTCATAACTTCTTTGGGGAAATAGGTTCCCGGAACTCTTCGATAAACAAAACGAATGAACGGTGTGTTGTAGAATATTTGAACCAATACGACGGTAATTCCAACTATGACGATTCATTCTGTTGTATTTGCTTATATCTGTGGTGTAATTTCACACAAAAATTCGTCATTGGAACCAAGCAGCGCTCTCATGTATGGCGGATAGATAACAACAGAACATTTAGTCACTGTCCCTTTCATTGAAACTCAGACCTATGGCAGTTGACAGAAAGCGGACTTAGATGTATAACAAGACAAATCGTATTATTTTCGGAAAACAAATTGCTGACGCCACCAGAAACATGGACCATTTGAGATTGCTGTCTGTTGTCTCCTGGCGATTTGAGCGTTCGCATGAGTTGCTATTATGCGACACAGGAGTTTTAGGAGCAAATCACGCTGGGCTGTGACTGTGTTCCACGTGTTGGCTAGAACTCAGGGTCGAGGCGACAGTAATTCTTCATAGAAAATGCTTGACCTGGTAACCAGTTATCTTCGTGTTTTGATTTGATGGAACAATTTGTCATTCAACTTTTGAACAAGGTGTGTACGCTTTGTGATTTGTGAGTCATTTTGGCGTCTAGAGCCAGACTGCTTTACACATTTCTACTGAGAGTAGATGGTGTGACTTTCCTAGTACGATTTCTGAAAAAAGGGCGCGTTATCATTCGTCAAGAAAATGTTCATTGGCATGTGATTTGAAGGCTGTATCTGTGACAGTCAACTTCCTACTTCGATACTATCAATCTGTAACCAGCTGGTACCCATGTACCACCCTGACAACACTGTTAACATTGTAACCACTCCACTCATCTACTAAAACGTTGTTTCCAACATCAAAATGATCAAAGGAATCTATGTTGTTCCGTTGTTTGTGCACCAGTGAAAAAGTGACGTTTCCGGTTATCGAGTTTGCATACTTACATCACTGGAGTATGACATACATGCGTAAATGTCATTAGGGTGTGACATACTTGTGTTTATGTCACTGAGGTATGACATACCTGTGTTTATGTCATTTGGGTGTGACATACTTGTGTTTATGTCATTTGGGTGTGACATACTTGTGTTTATGTCACTGAGGTATGACATACCTGTGTTTATGTCATTTGGGTGTGACATACTTGTGTTTATGTCATTTGGGTGTGACGAACTTGTGTTTATGTCATTGCGGTATGACATACATGTGTTTATGTCAGTTGGGTGTGACATACATGCGTTTATGTCATTTGGGTATGACATACTTGTGTTTATGTCATTTGGGTGTGACATATTTGTGTTTATGCCATTGGGGTGTGACATACTTGTGTTTATGTCATAGGGGTATGACATACTTGTGTTTATGTCATTGGGGTGTGACATCCTTGTGTTTATGTCATTTGGGTGTGACATACATGTGTTTATGTCATAGGCTTAGGTCATGGATAAATGCATTAGTTAGATTATAAGTACATGTACATATCAATACGGAAATGATCTGTTTACAGAGACGGGAAAGGAATTCAAGTATGACGTCCGATATGGAAAACGGGACCTTGAGGGCAACAGAAGCCTGATCACAGCCTGACCAATTGACCACAGACGACGGCCAGTGACCAGCTCGGTATAATCAACACGGACAAAGGGTAGCTAGCTCATCCCAGATCACAGAGGGCTACACAACTGGGAATCGGTAGTACTGGGAGCATAATAGGACGACAGTGGCACAAAGTATGTCGTCTCGCAGGTGGTACGTGGGACTGAGGCAGTGTAAGGACGTCCCCGTCACTGCCACATGTATGTGACACTCGAGTCTAGTTTTATCTAAGGGGCCTTTCAAGAAGAGTATGCCCAGACATCTTCCTATGGCCAACACATTACAGTAATAGTGTTCATGAACATACCCACATGTGCTCACAGCATGGTCACTTAACAACTACTGCTGACACGGGGGAAATCAAGTTCAGCCTATTAGGTATGCCGCAAAGTATTTAGATAAACATCAAACATCAGAAGTACTCCGCATGACGTATGTAACCATGTCCTTCCAACTGTGTCTTGTAGCAGTGTCTTATCACCGATCCCACCAGGTCAGGAATTAAAACAGTACTTCCAGATACCGAGCTTGTCAGTCAGGGACCGTCAAGAGCAATAACTAAAGGAAACACTGATACCACCTCTTAAGGAATGACTAGTAGATGGACGCCACAATGCCTGTGCTACCGACATAGTGCGGCAGAAGTAACGTGTAACAAGATTGGGTATTGCAAAAAGTCATGATGTATTTATCTGGGCAATGATTTGCATCGTCTTGGAACATTGGTTGTGTACTACAGAACCTCAGTTCACGTATTGGGAGTCTTGTGTAGGTCATGGACGTCAACAGCAGGTGGGCGTCATCTGAGTCTGGTGTAGGTCATGTATTTCAACAGCATTTTGGCGTCATGTCAGTCTGGTATAGGTCATGTATTTCAACAGCAGGGGGGCGTCATCTGAGTCTGGTGTAGGACATGGACGCCAACAGCAGGGGGGCGCCAGCTGAGACTGGTGTAGGTCATGTATTTCAACAACAGGTGGGCGTCATGTCAGTCTGGTGTAGATCATGTATTTCAACAGTAGATGGGCGTCATCTGAGACTGGTGAAGGTCATGTATTTTAACAGCAGGTGGGCGTCATCTGAGACTGGTGTAGGACAGGACGTCAACAGCAGGTGGGCGCCAGCTGAGACTGGTGTAGGTCATGTATTTCAACAACAGGTTGGCGTCATGTCAGTCTGGTGTAGATCATGTATTTCAACAGTAGATGGGCGTCATCTGAGACTGGTGTAGGTCATGTTTTTCAACAGTAGGTGGGCGTCATCTGAGACTGGTGTAGGTCATGTATTTCAACAGCAGGTGGGCATCATCTGAGACTGGTGAAGGTCGTGTATTTCAACAGCAGCTGGTCGTCATCTAAGTCTGGCGTGGGTCATGTATTTCAACAGCAGAAGGGCATCATCTGAGACTGGTGTAGGTCATGTATTTCAACAGCAGGTGGGCGTCATTTAAGTCTGGTGTAGGTCATGTATTTCAACAGAAGGGGGGCTTCATCTGAGACTGGTGTAGGTCATGTATTTCAACAGTAGGTGGGCGTCATCTGAGACTGGTGTAGGTAATGTATTTCAACAGCAGGTGGGCGTCATCTGAGACTGGTGTAGGTCATGTATTTCAACAGCAGGTGGGCATCATCTGAGGCTGGTGTAGGTCATGTATTTCAACAGCAGGGGGGCATCATCTGAGACTGATGTAGGTCATGTATTTCAACAGCAGGTGGGCATCACCTGTGTCTGGTGTAGGTCATGTATTTCAACAGTAGGTGGGCGTCATCTGAGACTGGTGTAGGTCATGTATTTCAACAGCAGGTGGGCGTCATCTGAGACTGGTGTAGGTCATGGATGTCAAAAGCAGGGGGGCGTCATCTGAGACTGGTGTAGGTCATGTATTTCAACAGCAGGTGGGCGTCATCTGAGACTGGTGTAGGTCATGGACTCACTGTTTGGTCCCAACATTTATTTTATTTTCCTTGGTGAGGACAAATGATAACAAACCTACCCAATGTTAAAAAAAACAATTTTGTTGCATGAATTGTCATTATTACCGACACTTATCAATAAGTTATTATGTATAATGTGTTCACTTAAACCGAGCTTGTACTTTATATATGATATTTGATGCTGTATATTCATGAGTGGCCAAGAAAGGTTTAGTATCTCCCGTACCTTGCCGTATCTTGTCAGGCGAACTCGACTGTGTTCTGTTTCCTATCTGGTTGTGATGCACTGTGTCACAATATCCTTCAACACACCCTTTATAGTGCACTGTGTATGTGCACTTCAAAATGGCGATGTGTTCACTTTGTATGCAACAACTATTCATGTATCAAATTGTATTTGTTCATAAAAATGTCAAAATAATTTAAATATTATGTTGCAGTGTTCATACTCAATATGACAGTGACACAGAGCACCAACTCTATGTCTGCCCACAGTACGATGACACACTTGACCAGCCAGGTCACCACTGAGAAACAATAGTTATTCACAATCTAAAGATTTCTTGGTGACACAAGGTATTTGCCAAATCATTCGGCACTGAGAACCAATGCTATTCAGAATACCACATGTTCAGAGACATTAACCCCCTTACCCCCAGTCGTGTAGTAGTCATGTAGTAGTCATGTAATAATCGTGTAGTAGTCGTGTAGTAGTCGTGTAATAATCGTGTAGTATCGTGTAGTAGTGAGGTAGTAGTCGTGTAATAATGGTGTAATAGTCGTGTAATAATTGTGTAGTAGTCATGTAGTAGTCATGTAATAATCGTGTAGTAGTCGTGTAGTAGTCATGTAATAATTGTGTAGTTGTCGTGTAGTAGTCATGTAATAATCGTGTAGTTGTCATGAAGGTGTCATGTAATAATCGTGTAGTAGTCGTGTAGTAGTCATGTAGTAGTCATGTAATAATCGTGTAGTAGTCGTGTAGTAGTCATGTAATAATTGTGTAGTTGTCGTGTAGTAGTCATGTATTAATCGTGTAGTAGTCGTGTAGTAGTAATGAAGTAGTCATGTAGTAGTCATGTAATAATCGTGTAGTAGTCATGTAGTAGTTATGTAATAATCGTGTAGTTGTCATGAAGTAGTCTTGTAGTAGTCATGTAATAATTCTGTAGTAGTCGTGTAGTAGTCATGTAATAATCATGTAGTTGTCATGAAGTAGTCTTGTAGTAGTCATATAATAATCCTGTAGTAGTCGTGTAGTAGTCATGTAATAATTGTGTAGTAGTCATGTAGTAGTCATGTAATAATCGTGTAGTAGTCATGTAGTAGTCATGTAATAATCGTGTTGTTGTCGTTTAGTAGTCATGTATTAATCGTGTAGTAGTCGTGAAGTAGTCATGAAGTAGTCATGTAGTAGTCATGTAATAATCGTGTAGTAGTCATGTAGTAGTCATGTAATAATCGTGTAGTAGTCATGTAATAATCGTGTAGTTGTCATGAAGTAGTCTTGTAGTAGTCATGTAATAATCCTGTAGTAGTCGTGTAGTAGTCATGTAATAATTGTGAAGTAGTCATGTAGTAGTCATGTAATAATTGTGTAGTTGTCGTGTAGTAGGCATGTAATAATCGTGTAGTTGTCATGAAGTAGTCTTGTAGTAGTCATGTAATAATCCTGTAGTAGTCTTGTAGTAGTCATGTAATAATTGTGTAGTAGTCATGTAGTAGTCATGTAATAATCGTGTAGTAGTCATGTAGTAGTCATGTAATAATCGTGTAGTAGTCATGTAGTAGTCATGTAATAATGCTGTAGTAGTCGTGTAGTAGTCATGTAATAATTGTGTAGTAGTCATGTAGTAGTCATGTAATAATCGTGTAGTAGTCATGTAGTAGTCATGTAATAATCGTGTAGTAGTCATGTAGTAGTGATGTATTAATCGTGTTGTAGTCGTGTAGTAGTCATGTAATAATCGTGTAGTAGTCGTGTAGTAGTCAATAGTAGTCGTGTAGTAGTCATGTAGTAGTCGTGTAATAATCGTGTAGTAGTCATGTGACAGTCATGTAGTAGTCGTGTAGTAGTCATGTGATAGTCGTGTAGTAGTCGTGTAGTAGTCGTGTAGTAGTCGTGTAGTAGTCATGTAGTAGTCGTATAATAGTCATGCAGTAGTGATGTGATAGTCGTGTAGTAGTTGTGTAGTAGTCGTCGTGTAGTAGTCATATTGTAGTCGTGTAGTAGTCGTGTTGTAGTCGTGTAGTAGTCGTGTAGTAGTCGTGTAGTAGTCGTGTTGTAGTCGTGTAGTAGTCGTATAATAGTCATGCAGTAGTCATGTTTAGTTGTCGTATAATGGTCGTTACACAGTCGTGTTCCATATAATGTATGATGGGGGATGGGAGCTTGATACATACCTTGTGTTGTTAGATAATGCAGGTTGTCGTTTCCCAGCCAAAACTCCTTGTGTTTGTCTCCGAACCCAACCTTGTAGTCCGCCCACGACCGGTAGAAGTCCACTGATCCATCCTGTCGTCGTTGGATCACCGTCCATCCTGAAACACACATGTGTCCATCACATCAGTCAGAAGTAAGGGACACTCACACATCCATCACATCAGTCAGAAGTAAGGGACACTCACACATCCATCACATCAGTCAGAAATAAGGGACACTCACGCATCCTTCACATCAGTCAGAAGTAAGGGACACTCACACATCGATCACATCAGTCAGAAGTAAGGGACACTCACGCATCCTTCTCATCAGTCACAAGTAAGGGACACTCACACATCCATCACATCAGTCAGAAATAAGGGACACTCACACATCCATCACATCAGTCAGAAATACGGGACACTCACGCATCCATCACATCAGTCAGAAGTAAGGGACACTCACACATCCATCACATCTGTCAGAAATAAGGGACACTCACGCATCCATCACATCAGTCAGAAGTAAGGGACACTCACACATCCATCACATCAGTCAGAAGTAAGGGACACTCACACATCCATCACATCTGTCAGAAATAAGGGACACTCACACATCCATCACATCTGTCAGAAATAGGGACACTCACACATCAGCCATCACATCTGTCAGAAATAGGGACACTCACACATCCATCACACCAGTCAGAAATAACGGACACTCATTCATCCATCACACAGGTCAGAAATAAGGGACACTCACACATCATCCATCACATCTGTCAGAAATAAGGGACACTCACACATCCATCACATCTGTCAGAAATAAGGGACACTCACACATCCATCACATCTGTCAGAAATAAGGGACACTCACACATCCATCACACCAGTCAGAAATAAGGGACACTTATTCATCCATCACATCAGTCAGAAGCAAGGGACGCTCGCACATCCATCACACCAGTCAGAAATAGGGACACTTACACATCCATTACATCAGTCAAAAGTAAGGGACACTCACACATCCATCACATCAGAGAGTAGCGACTAACATGTGTCTTTAACATCAGTCAGAGTGTAGAGATGTACACGTGTCCACCACGTGAGTCATTTAGTGTGGAGAGACACGCGCGTGCCAACCACATCAGTAAGAATAAAGCGATACACATCTGTCCATAAGGGTATGGACACACGGGTCAGCAGCGTGATTACCTCGGTAACCTAGGCTACTGCAGCTGGGTGATTACCCAGCAACCTAGGCTACAGCAACAGGGTGATTACCTAGCAACCAAGGCTACTGTAGCAGGATGATTACCTACATAACCTAGGCTACAGCAACAGGGTGATTACCTAGCCACCAAGGCTACTGCAGCAGGATGATTACCTACATAACCTAGGCTACTGCAGCTGGGTGATTACCCAGCAACCTAGGCTACAGCGGCAGGGTGATTACCTAGCAACCAAGGCTACTGTAGCAGGATGATTACCTACATAACCTAGGCTACAGCAACAGGGTGATTACCTAGCCACCAAGGCTACTGCAGCAGGATGATTACCTACATAACCTAGGCTACTGCAGCTGGGTGATTACCCAGCAACCTAGGCTACAGCGGCAGGGTGATTACCTAGCAACCAAGGCTACTGTAGCAGGATGATTACCTACATAACCTAGGCTACAGCAACAGGGTGATTACCTAGCAACCAAGGCTACTGTAGCAGGATGATTACCTACATAACCTAGGCTACAGCAACAGGGTGATTACCTAGCCACCAAGGCTACTGCAGCAGGATGATTACCTACATAACCTAGGCTACTGCAGCTGGGTGATTACCCAGCAACCTAGGCTACAGCGGCAGGGTGATTACCTAGCAACCAAGGCTACTGTAGCAGGATGATTACCTACATAACCTAGGCTACAGCAGCAGGGTGATTACCTAGCAACCTAGGCTACTGCAGCAGGATGATTACCTACATAACCTAGGCTACTGCAGCAGGATGATTACCTAGATAACCTAGGCTACATTAGCAGGGTGATTACCTAGCAACCTAGGCTACAGCAGCCTTTTTGACGACCCTCCACAGGTTTTTACATGAAAAAACAAAAATGAAATAACACTTTCTATATTATCATTAAATGTCCATTTGTTCATGACCCTCCCCAAATATGTGCATTATGTTTATGACCCTCCCACCAAAAGACTGTCATATTTTTGGTGACCCTCACCTGATTCCCCCTGACCACCCACCCCTGTAATCAATGACCGGTCCCTTAGATGTTTGTTCTCTTTTACTTATTAAGTGAAGATATATGATATGTAATATATAATTCTACATTTTGTAAATTTTATATTTGCAAGGTTCATGTAATAACAGCAGCTGCTTGCACACCAGCTCCTGACGAACAAACTGCGATCCTCCACAGAACTGCAGGTGATAAGCTGACATGATTACGTGTATTCCCCGGCCTTCAGTATATTTTACGAGCGCTTACTGAGAAATGTTTACCCGATAGTCCGCTACACTTACCCCAGTTGTTGAAGACCCTGCAGACGGCCTTGAATGGGGCGGGGGCCCCGTCCGGCTTGATGAGAATCTGGTAGTCCCCCTCAAACTTCAGGCCCCCTTGAAGATACACCTCGTGGCAGTCTGTAAACAACGTCACGACAACGTGATATGCAGATCAACGAAACATGTACACTCCACTGCCGACATTTGATACGGCTGGTCCAATTGTACACTACCAACATACAATACGGCTAGTAGACGTGTACACTCCACTGCCGACATTTGATACGGCTGGTCCAATTGTACACTACCAAATACAATACGGTACAATACGGCTAGTAGACGTGTACTCTACCAGAATACAATACGGCTAGTAGACGTGTACACTACCAACACACAATACAGCTAGTCGATGTGTACGGTGACAACATACAATACGGCAAGTAGACGTGTACACTACCAACATACAATACGGCTAGTAGACGTCTACGCTGTCTACATACAATACGGCTAGTAGACGTGTACACTACCAACATACCATACGGCTAGTAGACGTGTATTCTACGCACATACAATACGGCTAGTAGACGTGTACACTACCAACATGCCATACGTGTATTCTACCCACATACAATACGGCTAGTAGACGTGTACACTGCCTACACACAATAGGGCTAGTAGACGTGAACACTACCAACATACAATACGGCTAGTGCACGTGTACTTTATCAATATACAATGCGTCCAGTAGACTTGTACCGTGCCAACATTCAATACGGCTAGTCGATGTGTACACTACCAACATACAATACGGCTAGTAGACGTGTACGGTGACAACATACAATACGGCAAGTAGACGTGTACGGTGACAACATACAATACAGCTAGTAGACGTGTCAATACCAACATACAATACAGCTAGTAGACGTGTACACTGCCTAAATACAATACAGCTAGGCGATGTGTACACTACCAACATACAATACGGCTAGTAGACGTGTACCGTGCCAACATTCAATACGGCTAGTAGACGTGTACCGTGCCAACATACAATACGGCTAGTAGACGTGTACCGTGCCAACATTCAATACGGCTAGTAGACGTGTACCGTGCCAACATACAATACGGCTAGTAGACGTGTACCGTGCCAACATTCAATACGGCTAGTAGACGTGTACCGTGCCAACATACAATACGGCTAGTAGACATGTACGGTGACAACATACAATACAGCTAGTAGACGTGTCAATACCAACATACAATACAGCTAGTAGACGTGTACACTGCCTAAATACAATACAGCTAGGCGATGTGTACACTACCAACATACAATACGGCTAGTAGACGTGTACCGTGCCAACATTCAATACGGCTAGTAGACGTGTACCGTGCCAACATACAATACGGCTAGTAGACGTGTACCGTGCCAACATTCAATACGGCTAGTAGACGTGTACCGTGCCAACATACAATACGGCTAGTAGACGTGTACCGTGCCAACATTCAATACGGCTAGTAGACGTGTACCGTGCCAACATACAATACGGCTAGTAGACGTGTACCGTGCCAACATTCAATACGGCTAGTAGACGTGTACCGTGCCAACATTCAATACGGCTAGTCGCGATCGATGTGTACACTACCAACATACCAATATATGTTAAGGTTATTTCACATGTACGCTATCAACGTTTAATACGGCAAGTCAACAATGAGTGTAAAATCATGTTTTCACCTCATTAATTAAGAAGTACACTTGGCACCGCGCTCGTTTATCTGTTAAACTATTCAAGTAATACAAGTGCAGGTTTCTTAGATACATGCATCCCATATACGACAGCCACTCACAGGCGAGCCAATAGGCTATTGTTATCTGATACACTCAGCTACAACTTAAAGAGGAGATGTCATCAACAACATGTTTTGTGAAATTAAAATACTCATAAAAAGTGAAGGAAATAGCCAAGAGGTACTAAAACCGATCAGAAGCTTCGCGCTTAATGCAAAAGCCTCCAACACAACGCCTCTTTTTCAAAACCCTGGATCCGACCTCTGGAACTGTACACGAGAGTTACTTCCCCTTCACTGTTCTGCGACTCGTACATTTGTGGCGGCTTTTAGATATGTAAACTTGTGGTGTATTTTTGACAAGCCCACAAGTATACAACATATATCAGATAACGTAAGCCGGTAGCAAGTGGAAGAAAATTTCCCAGTAACGAGATATTGTGATAAGACACAGGCGCACCACGATAACATGCAGCATACCTCGCTTGAAAGGAACATGCTCTTTCAAGAATGTCTGCCGTTTAATCTGATAATGAAGAGCGTCTTGATACCCCCTGTCAGAAGAAACATTGCAGATGGACTGACAGCTTCGGCGAAATGTATACGGTTCATCGTCACAACTCAACGCACAAACGAGGAGATATTCATTTTCAACGGTATTTGAAATTCTGCGAAATTTGTTACTATGTTATATTAAAATACTACACTGTCATGCTAACTTTGGCTTCCTATTGGATATAACAATCAAGCTGTTCGTCAATCCAAGACAGGGGATGTAGCGCCACCGTGTCATGTTGTTCGGCTGTGCTTGAATGAGACGAAATTGCCCAAGCTACATCCCAAACTGATGGAACTGAAATATATGGCGTGTAACTAGCTGACCCGTGACGCCTCGCCAAACAGCCTCGCCGAGTGTTCGCGCAGCCCACGTGGTGGACGTGTATGTATGCGTCACGTCATCCGAGGGCTGCATGCACTGTGTGTGTAGCGGCGGCTCTAGGCGGGCTACCTTGTTGATTTCACGGCTCTCACAATCTCACTCAAGATACATGGTGACATTTCAAAATATATTTTCTTGTTACTGTTCACCCAAATTTGAATTGACGTGACTACCTTTTGTCATACTGTTATAATATCAGCGAAACTAGAAGTCTTTAACTCCGAAATATATGTTTTCTTTAAAACATTATAAATTCACAGATATAATTGGGTTTCGTCCATTACATTTATCTATAAACAAAATCACTTAGAACAACTGGAAACCCTGTCAAAAAAAGGAACCAAAAAATTTCTGGAAACTATTAAATAAACTTAAAACCTCATCCCAGAAGGAATCTGTTTATCCTGATCCTGAGGAGCTTACAAACCACTTCAGGAATATTTACAACACTAAAACAAAAATATCTTCTCTGGATCCTCTACAAAATTCACCAAGACATGGAGATATGCATATATGTGACGGTCTTAATAAACCAATAACAGCTAATGAAATTCTCACTTGTATATAACAATTCAAAACAAACAAAAAACAGGCGAAGATAACATGAGTAACGAACTTTTAAAATCAATATCTTATTCACTCATAGACCAGTTGGTTAAACTGTTTAATGACATATTAAATAGTGGTCACTTTCCACAGAGCTGGGCAACCTCGGTTGTTACCACATTACATAAGAAGGGTGATAAAACTGACCCTAACAACTACAGGGGAATTGCACTAAGCAGCTGCTTAGGTAAGCTATTCTGAAAGGTTATTAATGAAAGAATAATGGAACACATGGACAAAAATCAATTACAAGACCACTGTCAGTCTGGATTTAGGAAGGGCTACCAAACATCAGATAATGTATTTGTTCTTAAAACATTAATAGATTCTACAAAAAGTAAAAAGAAAAAACTATACACTTGCTTTGTAGATTTTCAAAAGGCCTTTGATTCAGTTGACAGATCACTACTCCTAACAAAGGTATTATCAAATAAAATCTCAGGAAACATATTTAAAATAATATCATCACTATACAGTGATATATATCTCTTATAAAGTGAAAACTGACAAGGGCATTTCACAATCCTTTATATCAAACATTGGGGTACGACAAGGATACATTTTGTCTCCCACATTATTTATTATATTCCTCAATGACCTTCCACATTATATCAAATCTGATAGCAACATTTGTCATTTGTTGTTTGCCGATGATTTAGTTCTATTTGCCGATTCCCCCCAAAAACTACAAGTGTTACTTGATGGACTAAGGGTATTTTGTGCCACAAATAACCTAAAGATTAATAGTGACAAAACAAATGTTGAAGTGTTTGGAAAATCAATTAAAACAGAAGAAAAGAATACTTGGACCATGGGTGATACAAAAATACTAGTTACAGATAGTTATAATTATTTAGGAATACGATTCGAAGCAAATGGTAAACTTAAAAACAGTGCTAAACCTCTCTTGAAAAAAGGCCTAGGGACCTACCACAAGCTTCAGTAAAACATTTTTAACCAAGATATACCCATAGCTCTTGCTTGCAAACTATTTAAAACATTAATCGAGCCAGTAATTTTATATAATAGTGAAATCTGGTGTGTAGAATCAATTCTCCTGAACAACTTTGATTCATTTATCCCCGAGAAACTGCAGCTCAAATTTTGTTAATCCATCTTATGTGTCAACAAAACAACACACAACTGGGCAAGCCGAGCAGAACTAGGACTCTACCCTCTTATCAACACAGTATTAATCAAAATAGCAAATTTTTATCACCGTGTATGTTCTTCCAAAAACATAATACTTCAGAACGCTTTTACAGAGAGTACATATTTGGTGAAATAAATATTGGGATGGGTTTACCAGCTCAACCTATTCTTAGGAAAACACAATTTGAGTACTTCAGCTTTCCTATCACCAATATTCAAAGAGACAATCAAAACTAAATTCAACTCCCTCTTCAAGGAATCTCTTCAAGATATAAATGCAACAAGAGGCACAGGAAACAAACATAGGACATACAGGATAGTTAAAAATGAAATAAAATTAGAACCCTATCTCAGTCACTGTAAAGTAAAAAAAATATCGAGTGCACTTTTCTAAACTAAGATTAAGTAACCATAAATTAAATATTGAACTTGGAAGACATACAAAGCCACCAACTCCACTACATCAGAGGCTAGGCTCTACATGTTCAACCATTGATGACGAAAAACACTTCAAACAATAAATACCCCTTCATAATCAACCGTTGACATTTTATGTTTAATAATATCATCAAATAAGTAATATTGATTGTTTTGTTTTAGTATGTGTCTACAGGAATGTAAATTATGTATGTCTGTATATATGTATACATGAATC